TCCCCCCCCCCCCCCCCCCACCGCCGCTACTTGGTGGAGTTACCCTTGGTATTACACCGCCCTCTGCTTCGGGGTTAACGCTCGTGTCGCTCTCCCGGCCGATTGTCGCTCTCCCGGCCGATTTCTTGGTGGCGCAAGCACGGGTGGTGCTAACCTTCCTTTTGGTCATGTTGAGATAAACACTGCTGCTGTGACGTCGCTTACCCGCTAGGAGGTCTAGAGCGAGTGTAAAGCAGTAAGCAGTTGCAGGTTGGCCCGCTCGTGCAGAGATACGGTGCCTCGTTTGTGTGGTCCTTGCGCTGAGTTGTCTAAAGTATGGTAAGAACGCCGTGTGGGGGGGTCGGGCACGTGGTGTGTTTTGTCCACCCTGCCGCGCGCGGGGCTAGAATAACGAGAGATGCTAGGCTGGCCTCGATGTTGACATTCAACACAACTGGGATGTCTCCGCCCCCCTCGGCTTTTCAATCCGTTTTGTGGCCATTGTGTGTTGGCGTCAGGCTGTTCGTGCTCCTCTCCCCCCCCGTGCGCGCGCCCTGGTTAGCATAATTGTGTTTGCGATAATAATCTGGCTTGATTTTGTACTCTGTCGGGTGGCTGCGCTTCAAGGCCAAGGAAAGAAAGTATTTGGGAGAGAACTTCGCTCGTCTCAGCTGGTTGTTGTGTCCTAATTCAATGCACGTACCGTGTGCTGAACTTACTGCTGTCTCTGGAGTTGTGCTTTATCGTAGCTCGGAGGATCTTCTGTTGTGGTCGTTTCGTTTCCGATGTTGAGAACACAAAGGTACAAGGCGCAAAGACACTTCTGAGTAGTGTTCTCTCTGCGAGACACAGGGCAGGTCTTTGTCGCTGAAGGTTGCGGACTGGTTAGGTGCGTGTTGTTGCCTGCAGGAATGTATGTATGCCTGCTCGAGAGTGTCATCCAGTCTTGTTGTCGCAATCGATGAGGGCAGAGTACCACTAAATAATTCCTGTTTGAAGCAACAGCCCAGAACCAGCACGCCGAAGGGACGTTGCAGGGGGAAGAAATTGCTCTCTGCCTCGCGGTTCGGGGTAGGTCGTTTCGTATATTGAGCCATGAGTCGTAGGAAATGATCCCCCCCCCCCCCGTAGTGACAAGCTTGTTAGGGCGCGTACCATGAGGTAGGCTTGATGATGCAAGGAGACTGTTGAGTGGTAGGGTAGACAGATGTCCAATGTTGAGTGGATCGTCAGCTGTGTCCGTAGTCAAATGCCCACGCACCCCTTTCTTTTCGATACGTTCTCGGGATACTCATCAAATTGCCAATTTTGCTTGCGGCTGACTCACCAAATACTGTATCAACTCTTTTTCTTCTTGTTCGATTGGTTACCGGAGGTGTTGGTCTTGGCTGCCGCCGAGGATCTAACCGCTATGCATATGCATACATGCTCACAACGATCAAATGTCGTTCAAGTTCTCATGCTCCGTCTGCTTGTTACGTCGCGCGGACTGCAACTCAATTGCACCACCAGCCGTCAAGATTTGCTTCAAACATTTTGTAGACTGACCCACCGTTCTACAACAAAATGTAGAGTCGGATGTTTCGCACCGCGGCTTAGCTGCAACCTTCGACAGCGCTGCCCCAGCAACAGATTTTAGCGTGGCAACGCACACGTCGCCGCTTCATGTTGTCCTACTGGTACAGTTGGTAGTTCGCAATGATGCTATTTATTTGAGAACCCACCGTATCGCATGCTTCCTCATGGAGACAGGTGTAATGTTTTTTGTCTTGGACTGAGAGAAGGTGTGAAGATAGACTCCACGTAACGCTTGTGGAGACAAGCCCCAACCGCTCGCTGCTCTGTGCCACTACGAACGGTTTTTCCTTTGCATAAAACAGTGCGCCTGCTCTTCATTGTAAGTGCCTCGTGTCCGATTGCTGGGTACAGTCCTATTTTGCCGGGAAGGGGGGCTATGTCGACGTTCTCCCTCGGTTGTTTCAACATCAATCACCAGTCAATTTCAAGACAGATTTTTGGAATGACCAGTACGGCATGTACTGATGCTGTCTACTGTACCGTGCGTACATAGATTGCCAGTTGAGGATGAACTTCATGGAAACGGCGCCGTCTGCCCACCGAAAATCAGTCTCACTTTTTGTCACGCGTTTTTTAAGGTATGGTCTTCCTCGGAGTGGATCATTTGATGAAAGCATTGGTATGGTGAGGCCTCCGACCGCGGGCGGAGGTTCCTCGCTTGTGGATACTCCCCGCCGGTGCTGAGCGTTCTCACAGCACCAGGGGGGCATATCCCGCAAACGATCGCAGCACCGAGTGCCGAGTGTGGGTGGGTGGGTGGGATGGGTCTCAATTTTTTCCGGTCCTCTACGCGCTCTCTTGAGGCTTTTGGGGAGCGAAAGAGACAAACGACCACTTTCTGTACTCTCCTCCACAAAATTAATACTTCCCCGACGAAGTTTCATTGTTTGTGCCAAATTTGAATGGTTCGATAGGGCAACGACTTTCTTGTCCCATCACATCACAGATTTCTTTACTGCTTGTGTTGTACTGGCGACAAACCCCACTTTGCGTTAGGGGAACTTCAGATCTTCAGATTGAAAACATCAAACACCGTCACGCAGCTGAACTCCGGCCCGGAGCTTCTAGTTCACACCGCGGAAACCAGACAAACGGACAAGTCGGGGGTAAAACAAGGACAAACTTCACACTTATGTTCGACGTGACTTGCGAGACCAAGTAATAAGAAAAACGTGCACGTGCGGGGTTAGAGCTTGATTTTTTATTTTGTATGTAGACCTCGGAATTACAAAAAAACGAATGCGAGCACCATGAGAGTGTGATGGTCGACGCACAGAGGTGTATCAACTTACTCGAAAAGGTTGAAACGATTTTTAGACTATGAAACGACTAGGGCTTGCTTCAATAGGAAAACCACACACTGGGCATCGACGCTACCGTAGGACCTTGAAATAACGCACGAAGTAGCACGTATCTAGTCTAAACAAGCACTAAATGCTGCAAAAAGTGGCTTCATCAGTCGCCACCAACGAAAGGCGTTGGGAGACATAGTCTACATTGTTCCTGCCATTCTTCATCACCGGGAAGCTTCTACAGGCACCAAATACGCACAACGCGCTTAAAAATATCGTCCCATGCATACTCTGGATTATGCTGTTGTAATAGGCACGATAACTCCTTCCGCCCGTGGAGAACACGGACAAGGTAATCCTCGACACTCAACTCACCCAACTACCCAGGCGTGTCATCACCGGATATTCTTCCAGGACTCATACGACCGCTGAAAACTACACGATACCACGCTCCCGCCCAAAATTGACGGCGAATTAGCGCATCACCTTGGCCAAATTCTCTCCGTGTCAGCTACACGCATACATAGTACACGTTTCGTTGAAGTCCCAGGTATGACTCCCGATTGGGGATTGTTACGACACCCCTTGACCCTACTTAGCCAGCATGCACTCGCAATGCGAAACGTCCCATGCAAATGCTATGGGTATCAAAAGCCGTTCTCCATTTTGCAAGTGACGAGTTTAGACAATAATAGTTGATGAGTGAGGTGAAACGACAGATAGACCAAAACATCACCTTGTGAATAAACAACCCTAGATACACAATACCTTCTTCAACGAGGGCAGCGACAACCTGGCAAGCACGTCCCGTACGCGCTTTTCACAATAGAGAGCAATACGAGCGATGGGAGGTGGGTTCAACCAGAGTAAGACTCCCACAACATTCGTTGTAACTGCAGTACTGAGGGGGTGAGGCAAGACTAACGCTGTACAGTAAAGCTAACAGACAATCTACCATCGAAACAGAAGCCGGTAGCAAAATATCAAACAAAAAGCCATAAAAAGAAGGGCATGTAGCCAAAACCAAACGCACCCAAACCACGCATAAACAGGAGTAAAAGACAAGGCTTGCGCGTCTAGACTATGCATAGAGCCATCGATGAATTTCAGAATTTCAGACGCACGCAACGGTAAACATGCTACACATGCATGGAAAGAAATATGCTACAAACTACTTACAAGGAAGCTCGTCTAACTCCAGTAGTAGTTACACGCTATATCTTGCAAATAGCTTCTGGATCACATGGCCAGTCGATCTTGCGGAACTGGGACGGCCTGCTCAGTCGAAGTTGCCGAAGCACCAGGATTTTGTTTCCGCTAATCTTCTTCGAGTCCAGCAGCTGCAGCCTCCCCGTCAACTCCACCTCTACTCCCTCAAGGTTCGAAAGGATCCCGACCCTGACGTTCATCTGCAAGTGTTGCTTGAGATCGCACAACAGGTCGCAGTCCTCGTAGGTCCCGACGTCCACGATGTTGGTAATTTTTTCAAATGCGGCGGGAGTGGCCCCGCCTGCAGCAGAATGCTGGTCGCGTCTCCCACCCCAAAGGGATATCCCGCCCGCTCCGATTCCCCCGTTGCCTTCGCTCTCTCCGGAGACTGCCGTGTGCTGGACGATCGGGTAGCAGGTGAACGTCGCGCAGTGCTCCTGGTTTGTTTGGTGGAAACCCGGATGAAGGTGGGGCGGGTAGATAAGCATTATGTAATGCAGGAACATGGACGCTGGCTTGGGGATGGGCTTGCCATGGTAGCACAACACCTCCCACGTGCTGTTACCGCGCGTCTTGCCACAAACAGCCGCTGGGAGGGAATTCTGGGGTACAAAAGACATGACAACTGAATCCGTCCCACCGTTCTGTGTGCAGTTCTGACTTACTTTGTGTGCCTAAAGATCGCGGGCGTGCCTCGTCTAAGGGACAAAACATATCGACAGACCAAGAGGCAACCAACGCTATTTCGTCATGTGCACAACGTAGCACACAGTACCATGTGCCTAGTACTCTCTCTGATGTTGGGAGGTTCTTTTACCAGAACCAATAGACTAACTGCCAAATATCCAAAACTGAAGATACCACCGGCGGGTGCATGAGACTCCTCAACATGTGATCAACCCGGTCCCGCGTGCGCAAGAGAGGGCAGAGACAGCGCGGACCGGAGCCGATGTGACCAAGGACTGCCTCGGTGTGTGTGGTTCCAAGTGGGAGTGTGGTGGGAGTGAAAGGGGATCCATCTACCCTATGCACCTCTTCGCGACAGGAAAGGTACGTGACTGTGAGTTCCGATAGCAGTTCCGACAACCGTCATGCACTCCTTGTACGGAATCGTCTAAGAATGCATTGTTTTCACTCATTTTGCGCGCGATACAAGCCGATTTGCTGCGTCGTATCTTTTTGGCATCGCTCTGGCGCGTGTGCTAGACCTTTTCCCTTGAACGCTCTCACCTATGGGCCTCCTACTCTAGGGTTTATGATATCCTCCGTCCGTTCAGGGATGAGGAAGACAAGGTCCTTGTGCAAACATGCATTTCTTGAGAGCTTGAGAGATGTATCCTCTGTGCTCTTGCGGATGGTTGCTGCTAGAGATATAGAGGTACATCGCTGCTTCTGTGGATTTCTCTCTCATGGTATCCTGTTCGTCATTCTTACATACACGCGCGTCCCCCATCTCTTTGAGGCACACACGAAGACTTCTCTCGGTATTCTGTACCATCCTTACTGCCGTGATGATTGTATGATGTCCTTGGCGATTGTGTGCACACATGTAAGGTTTTGGAGCATTTGTCCTCCAAGAGAGAGAGCCACTGTTCGAGGAGGACAGAGAAAAGTCAGATTAACTAAAATGTTCCGACAAACTTTGATTCGCCAGCGAGCGAGCGGACACCAACATCTACCTCACGGTGCGTATTCTTTGGCACCGTAACTCTCTTGCCTTGGTTGTGTTGCCAAAGCGGACTTTGGGCACCGACGAGCGTCCTTTAAACCACCACCTGAGCCCGCCCATATCCCCGTAGTAGTAGGACTGGTTCTTGCCCCCTTTATCGGTCTTCATCGCGTTGGAGAAGACCCTCAAGTGATTCACGGGAGTCTCGACCCACACTTCCCGCTCCCCTAGCTGCCGACGACAAATTACCGAGTACGGGCCCAAAGTTGTCCAGTCCCCAACCCCGTCCGGGCTCGTTAGCGGTCTGTACGTCTTGAGTATATCGCGCTCGATTTCCTCGTCGGAAACTGCCACCTGCGGCGTCGTTGTGATTGGCGTGCCAGAAACAGGACGGTATCCGATGTATCATACACAGGAATAGCGTGGGTGGTGCATGACAAAAAAGATACTTCACTCGTGCAAATGACATTAGGTTTGCGGTGCTGGGGGCAGTACGAACAGCGAAATCACACAACGGCGACAGACTCACTTGGTCCAAGCCTTCTCCGGCTGGTGTAGACTCATCGACGTACCCCAAGAAGAAGCGCAGCTTGGCAGGTTTATCCTCCGGAAAGGTGACCCCCTCCGGACCGTGAACAAAATTCATGGCCAAGAACTCTTCCGTCGAGGCGTCGTCGTAAAAAGGGGCTCTTCGGCATTGTTGGCAGAGGGGAGTGGCCGGCGTAAGCTTTGGTTTAGTTTTCCTCGTTCTTTTATTTTTCCTTTCAATTTCTTTCACCATACATGGTGAATAACCCAAAAAAACTCACCTGCTAGGGTTCGTGCGGGAACCATGCAATGAAGTCAGGGGGAAAATGTGTCCTAACCTTTGGCAAGGCGAAGGTGATGTGAGAATGTGCGGGGGTCCGAGTTTGGATCTCAGTACTGTCATGTCCTGTACATGTCTTCCTCCAAAAACAAAACTTGAATACCAACCACACTTACTAAAACCGGAACATATTTGAACGACATCTGGACCTACCAAGTTGACGACCAGGGAGAAAATCTTGACCGTTCACTTATCCTTTAGACTGGAGTCGACAACATTTCATTACCTTGAAAATTTTAGCAGAGCTGGGAGAATTCGCGTGAACCTAACCAGCAACGATGTGATATCGCTCCAACACGGTATTCACCATTTCTTGAGAGGCAGAAAGCAAACTACTTTTTAACCACGATGGCTTTCGACCAAAAAACAAAAATCCCACCTGGCTGATCCCTCGGTGCGACAATCGACGAAAGCTAAGCTTCGGGTAATTGTCATCTCGAGAGCCAGCTCCTCATCCAAGGACCCAGCTTGAAGCTCGAATTCAATGCTGTGGCGTTTCGAGACATAGGTTGCGGGACCCGGTCCCAATGACGTCATCAGGACATCCTCGCGACCTACAACATCAGGTGTCGAGAAGGAGGGGATAGGTGGTATCCATCGTTCTCGACATGTGGAACGATACCGTCAGCCTTTGAATTTTCTGTTTTTGCGTCCTCCATCACTATATAGTAATTAAATGTACAGGCTAGTGTGCGATAGCACCGGCCGAGTAAAAACACTGATCATGACCAGTCTTGGGCGAGACTGCTGTGAGATCGCATAAATCTTCACGTGCCAACGACAGCACATAGTGGTGCGACAAGGTCGTCATTGGTCGCGTGTGGGTCAACACACGCTTTGATTTTCCTCCTTCTTATGCACAGCCGGTTTTCGTTGTGGTCGACCCGGGACTCGGCGTGCCCATAGTCACCTGTCGCCGCGCTCTGCAAAAAACCTGAAAGGTCGACACAATTGGCGTGGGTTGTGTGATGGTGATCGTGTCCAGGTGACCGCACAGTGGTCTACTGTTTGCGACTGTGGTCAGGCAGGTTGACAAAAAAACAAACCTTTTGTAGTTGTCGGCGCGGGTTGCTGCGGCTGCTCCCGCCTCCTCGTCGACCATCTGTCTTGCGACATCCCAGGGGCAGGGGCAGGTATCTGCAGGTCGTGGGGGTTGAGGAGGGCAGGTAGTGTATGAGTTGTGAGAGGCTTGTGACGCGTTTTAGGAAGCCGTCCTTTGATAATGAGCTTTGCGTTCGGACAAAACCCTAGTACCCCTTCCTGCTAGTAATACCCTTCAAAGAACCAACATTTTCGGGCTTCCGGAAGGACTAACAACGGGAGGGCGCTCTTTTTTGCCCCATATTCAATACTTCAGCGAATCTTTACCAGCCAAACTTACAAAAGTAAAGTTTCACACCGCAATACTAAACCACATAAACACAAAACCAACAGATGACGGGCTCACTTCGACGAAGCCTGCCCCACCATCGCAACCAAAAATAGGAAGTGAAAGAAATTGGATAACCCAAAACTACAAACATTCGCAAAACGCATCGGGCAGAATGTAACCACCCTATTTCAAAATACATCTGCGTGGTGCAAATCGCTGACGTCACCATGCCAGCCAGCCCTTCATGCAGCGAACCAGGAATAAAGCTACGTGCTGACATGCAATGAAGACGCACTAGCCGTGTCGTGAAAAAGTATCACCATCAACCAAGCTGCACACAATTCGAGGCTTCGCACCTCCATTCTTCCCTTACCCCGTCCCCTGCCGACACACCTCCCACCCCCCGAGTGTTGTTGTTGTTGTTGTTGTTGTCTTCACATTAAAAACCGTTCCGATCTCTCTTCCCAGTACCTTCTTCTGTCCGTACTATTATAGTCTAACACTTGACGGGGTCGATTCCCGTGGTCACAGGCTAACTTACCCCAAAAGAAAAAGGTATACGATAATGAAATGGGCCCGAAGAGTCCGCACGTCAATAGAAATCAACGGCAGGTAGCCAGCCTAGAACCCTCCGCTCGCCTCTACACGCTATGCGAGGTTAACATAGACGGAAGAACAAGAAAAAGAAAAATAAGAAGAAGAAGAAGGCAGAGGGAGAAAAAGAGAAAGACACAGAGAAAGACACACGCCAGCACCACTACCGCAGCGACAAACAAACAAAACAACACAAGACAACACAAAACGGGCCACCCGACATGGCAAAGGCACGTCATCGCTCGTGGGGGGTTGCCGCAATGGTGCAGAGACGGCGGGGGGGGGGGGGGATCAGTCGATCAAGGGGTTCAATCCGGCACAGCATGTCGCGCCACTCGGTCCGCCTCTTCTCGATCAAAAAGCCAAGACGATTATCGTTCAAACTTCGCGGCCGCCCTGTCGGGGAAGCCCATGAGTAGAAAACATGCTCGAATATTTATGCCCTGGTACTGGGACTGGCGTCTTGTCATTGACCAGGGGTTCAGCGCGGTCGATGCCAGTCAAAATGCACACACAGATCTATGTTACAACAAAAAAACACACACCACCACAGCGAGACTGATACTTGTAACGTAAACTGTTATGTATGTTTCGTTGAGGTTCTTGCGGCTGTCCGAGTGGAGAATTAAAGTAAAGAACAGACGCAAAAAGAAACATGTACTTGTTGTTTGGCAAGTGCCCCTGTGCGGTAGATAGATTCCTCGCACACCAGTCGGATGTGATGCTCTGAGCTTAAAACTTCACCAAGATATAATGCGAGAGTAAGAGAGATCGGTTGCTGTTGTTGTCGTTGTGAGCTGCTAAAATCAGGACTTTGTTTAGACCTTCCAACACCTCTACCGAGAAGCTGCATTCAAACTCGAGAAAAAACGGCGACCGAGCTGAAGGAAGCAACGTTTGCTACGAACCTCAAAAAGCTCAAAACACATGAACAACTGGTCCATCAACACCGTGCACTAAAACCTACGTTGTCCAAGTTACCTCGAAGATAATACAAGAACCGAGCCTCGGGCTAAAACAAGAGGTTATCAACCGCATGCGCATTCTGTAAACGCTGGTCGTGGGGGTAGTCGAAACGGGGCATCTCTTCTGGACGTGAAGCCAGCACCTAGCTGCGACCAAGGAAGCTGAACTGATTTTCGCGTGGTGGGTCTAGTTTTGGATGTTGCGCCACGCCGTTTGCGCCACGCCGTTCTACGCGCGTGGAGGGCTCTGTCAAGAACAGCAGCCTTGACAGGGTTCTTCTGTGAAGTAAATATGCTGGTCAAAGCATGCAATCGGGGAAGTTTGGCCGAGTTCGACCACACACACACACATGACATCCGACCAATTTCGTTGGGTAGCTCGCTGGGGCTCTTCGACGCCACCTGTTGTTCGAGCTTGGAAAACGCCATAGATGGTAGTCAGCCAGCTGTGCGAGCTTTCTTCTACATCGTGCATCCCCGCTTTGACGACACTGCCGCGCAATCATGAGCCCGCTGCGGGGATATTAACAAATAGCATACCTCGTAGAATTATGGAATTGACTTACCCGTGAGCGTTCCGGACCAGCAAAGTGGAAGTATCCAGGAGAATGACCTGGTGGTGGTCCTAGCTCATCGTTGTCGTTGTTATTTCTTTCCTGCTCAAGCATGGAGGCATTTTCCTGGGGGGGGGGGGGGGGGGTGAAGAGACTAACGTAAGAATGTGGATCTTCGCACGGATCGGCTACATCGCACAGGTCGGGGTCTTGGCACAGCGCTGCTGGTGTATTCTCATTGGTCGGCCGGGTATTGGTAGCGCGGTTCGACGCAAACTTGCAGCAAACAACAAAAGCAAAACCCGCCAAAGTCTTTCCCACCCGATTGGGACGCTCGCTCACCCTGAAAGCTGACGTCATCTTCGTCAGGCTGCGAATGACGAGGCCGGAACGCGTGCCTGTCTCCGAGCTTTGGGCGGCCCCGGAGTCGCTCTCGCTCTCGCCGGCGTCGACGCCACCGGCGCCGCTGGAGAAGTGCGCCGGCTGATCGCCTGGTGCGCTGCTGAACAGCGAGAAGCCCGCGGACTTGGAGTACGATAGGATGGCCGCCCGCGTGTTCTGCCGGAACCAAAAATAAGACAAGAACGGAACGAATCGCGTAACAACCGTGGATGCGGGGGGATCTGTACAGCATCGCCCCGGGAGCAATAATCGCCTTCGTTTGAGCAAAACAGAAGGAGAAAGATGTAAACGACCCAAGGACAGACGCAGTTGCGGCACATTTCGTGGTGTTTACACCGCAAAACCGGCTTCCTCCAAAGATTTTTTCGCGTTGACTTTGCGGGGGGAATGGCCGTTGGCCGTTGTGTGTGTTGCAAGGAACGACACATGGCGGAGTCGGCGATTGCGATGCAACAGAAAGGGCACCAGGCCACCAGGCCACCAGCAGGCGTTGAAAAATTGGAAACCGGTAGCTGTGACCAGAGCTGATCACTTTTCTACCGGCAAACACCCAACCTTGCGTCAAATTGGACAGGAAAGCATGCCATGATCCCCACGAACCCCTTCTCTGACAGCTGTGAGTGAAAAACGGGGCAGGATGGGTGGGCGGACGCCACAGCGCCCGTGTGGATGTGGACCATATCGGTCATCTGGCTCGTTTATTAAAGAGGAATAATTGGTTTTCGCGAACCGGCACCTCTGAAATTGCAGTGGCATCGCTGGGTCGTTGTCGGAACTTTTCGGTCCGAAAAATTAGTAGTCTTTTATGCAAATTCTTCACAGCAGTCCCGGTTTTCCATCACGCCGGCTGAAACACAAAAACGCATACGAAGGCAACAAAGTGAACAGACCCTCTTTTTTTCGACGACAACTGTCGCGTTGTACAAGCGGTTTCGTCGCGACGGCATCTCTGCAGTAGCAGCAGCAGTAGCAGGCTATACCCACCGGATCATCCGGGAGGGATCTGTAGGCCGTGATGAAGAACTGGTTGGCCATGCCGTGAAGGCGTTCCACTGTGCGCGTGTTCCCCTTGCCCTCTGCCATCAGCCTTTGTGCCTGATTTTCGTTCCAATGACGGCAAAACGAAACGACGTCAAAACGAGTGAACGACCAGAACAAATAGAGCGTGGCATATAGTTGTACTCCAATTTTCCTCACATGGTTGATTGTTGAATGAGGCGCCAGATGCACACATTGTTTCTGCAGTCAAAAAGTTCTAAGATAAGCACCGCCACCGCTGGGAATGTACGCCACGGTTGGGGGCGGCGGGTATCTCGGGAATACCAAAGCATCTTTTGGCGTGACCAAGTGTGTGCTCAACTCTCCAGATATACATACTTTATATAAAATCACAGAAATACTGCTGTACCCGTTTGAGACATAACCACAGTCATAGGGGATGGGTTGAAGTATTTACAGTGAGGAGGAGAATACCTGCGAAGAATAGAGGAGCGCGACCAATGTTTAGTTCCGATATCAAGGACAAATTCCAGGTGCAAACGGGGCGAAATCCAGATGGAATAAGTCGGTCGTGTGTGTGCGTTTTTGTCTCGTGTACTCTGGGCGCCACGGTACACTTTTCGGTATGGTCTTGACATGCCAGCCGGGATGATACAGGAGGAAGATAAGAACGAGTTGTTTCTCGTTCTCCGTATTCCTCCTGCGGTAGATGCTTGCTTGCAATTTTCTCGCGAGGAGGGTTGGGCATGTCGTTCCATCTCTTCTTGGGGAGATACGAACATGTGCATTCGGTACAGGAGGAAATTAAACCGGAACCACCATAAAAGCGTGTGGGAAGATCAAGTCTTCAGCAGTTCGTCTAAGTCTAACATCAACACAACCCCATATAGCCGAAACAACAGCAGTAGAACGACAACACGACGGGTCCCCAACACCGCTAAAAGGAAAGGACAACAGCTTCAACATCGGTATAAACGGTGTTGTAGCTGTTGTCCTGGTCCTTTCGCTGTGTTGGGGCCCGTCGACAAACAACAGCAAGCATCGCCCGCCCCGCCCCCCAGTCGAACACACAGGACCTCAGCAGGCCAAGCGTGATAAAAAAAGACGCGGAGGCTTTCTCGGGCCATGAAAACACCCTAAAGCGCACCCTTCAACTTGCGTACCAAGTCTGACTCCTTCTTAACAAAACCTCACCTGCATCGATAGCATTACGCCCCCGCCGTAGTCCAGGATGTGCATGTACTGATGCAGGCAAAAGTTGTACGGATAGAGTTCAGGGATCGGGTTAGGTGTGCATGCACTGACACAGGCAAGACTTTTCCGGATAGGGTTCAGGGATCGGGTCAAGTGCAAAAAGAGTGTACAGAACCGGCCCGCACTCACGAACTTGTCAGTTAGGGACTTGAGCCTCGAAATTTCCACAGTCATAGACTTGACGATAACAACAGGTGCTCGGTGCAGAGGCCTACACTAAAACCTATATCGTCGCCGTGGGGGTACCCCATAGACAAACGAGCCTCGCCCAAAGTAAGAGGTTGTTTATTGAGGGTCCTAACTGCAGCGTATGCAAGGAAGTAAGCACAAGATGCCGAACACCCTTAGCAGGATGCTGCGCATCTTCCATGCGACCCGCCGAATACCTCTCGGCGCTTCGCGCTTGGTGAATACCTCTCGGCACTTCGCGCCTGGTCCGGTGAGAACTCGGCGTGCTCCGTCCAGGCCTTGTAGGGATGCGAGGTCAACGATCTTACGACTACGCTTGGTGATGTGAGAGCCTGGTCCGGTAAGAACCCCGCGGTCCCAGCTTTGTAGGGATGCGAGGTCAATGGTCTAACGACTACGGCATGCACAACTATGAGTACAGCCCTCAACTGTAGCGGGGACAACTTTGCAAACAACTGAGGCGCCACAAACAACAATGTCGAACCACATTTTTTCCCGACCAATGTTGTTTTTGGCTCTTCCCAACAATTGTTGCAATGGGCAAAGACCGAAACTCTTTCTGTTTTTCATCACATTTGATCAGCGCCCCTCGGCACTACAGCTCCGTTCCGTCGGAAACAAAAAAAACAAAAGCAGAAGCCCGACCGAGAAAAACGCAACGGCGGGTTTGCCTTTGAGGAAAAAATAAAAAGACTAAAAATGTGGGGAAACGGGTCGATTGTAGTGGGCCTGACGCTGTATTGCATCCCCAAACCTGAAAAATAAAAAATACCCACAACAAAAACAAGCAACACCCCAAACCCAATAATCTGTATCCATATATCTCTATTGGACTCCCGACAACCGTTTTTTCTCGGCAACTAAGAAACCGTTGTTTCTCGACAACGTAGAGACAAAACAAATGCGATCCGGAGATATAAAAAAAAAAACACGTGGACAAACTACCAACTCCACGGTATGGGATGTACTACAAATCGAATGCTTGATCGATTCGGATCTTTCTTCTCACCCTGACAATGGGGTTGATCTCGCGGATGTCTGAAACCGTGAACTCGAAGCCGACCGGGGAGTCGGCGTAGAAGTGGGCCTTGGTGTCTTCCGTAAGCACCACTCCCTACATACAGAGAGACAGGGGAGACAGGGTGACAGACAGAGAGACAGAAAGACAAGGACAAAGAGACAGAGAGACAGGGGGACAGAGAAACAGGGAGACAGAGAAACACGAAGACAGAGAAACAGGGAGACAGAGAGACAGTCAGACTAGACACACCCGCGACGGCAAGGAAACATCCGGCTTTGCTAGGGCAGGTCAGGCACTCGTTCGTGTCAACAAGGGTCACCGCGAAGCTTGTTGGTCACAAGGGGCGCCAACAAACACGGCTGTTTGATCTCTCATGCATCAGGTAAAGCCCCTCTCCCTCCGACTGCTCATAATTTATCTGCCGCTCGCGAGGGTACCGTAAGAGGCGGAGAGATGGCATCCCCCCTACGCCGATATTCAAAAAGTCCAATTGCTCCTGTCAACCTCGGGGCAATCAAAACTCGCCTGCATCTCCGTCAGCTTGAAGACGCAGTCCTGGAGGACATACGGGTCCCGGCTGATCTTCTGGACGTCTCTCCTCTCCGACGTCGTGAGGGACACAAGCCCGAACCTCTGCAGCACCCCGGTCAACACCTTGTGGTTGTGTTGGTGTTGACAGTGGTGGTGTTGGTGGTCACGAGCATGCGTCAACACAAGAGAGAGAATGAAAAAGGGGGCATGGCATCGGAAGCGGGCGTGAGGTAAGACAAAAAAGCAATGCAAGGCCGCGTGCATGCCTACCCACCAAGTAACACGAACTCGGCAACAACGGAGCAAGCAGACGCTTGATGGTGGGCGGTGTTGACTCTCCTCCATCGAGCCTACGACGATAAGCGTAGTTTGTGTCCCCTCAAGCTCTCTCGCGTGACTTCCGATTTTTGCGTCAGTCCCGGCCTTGAAGGCGCACGAGGGCCTCGGTTACGTACGATACCACACACCCTAACCCCCCGAATCTTGCGTTCCTATCCCTGGGCTAACACTACCCCGGACCCTTCACCGAACCTGATCATACCCTTACCTTTTCCTTCCAGAACGTGGCGGAGTTGATGTGGGCTCCGGTCACCAGGTTGAGGAATCTCACCACTATTTCATCCAGTACGAAGACAGGGCGGTTACGCTTAGGCTTAGGCTTGAGCTTAGACTCCGGAGGCCTAAGCTTACAATCAGGAGGCTTGTCTTACGCTTACGCTCAGAGGGCCTAGGGTTAGCCTGGGGGTCATCGTTCAGGTTGAGGAAACACATATCTGTTCAATCCAACACGAAGACGAAGCGGCTTAGACCCAAGAGGCTTAGGGATAGTCTGGGGGTCATATGTACTCCGTCCAGGTTGAGGAAACACAAATCTGTTCCATCTAACACGAAGACAAGGCGGTTAGGCTTAGGCCTAGGCTTGACGACTCCATCCCGAATGGAGGGCGGAGACCTGCCGTGTATATACAACGATGTTTCTCCCTCCACTACTGCTGTCGTTCACTCTCAAGAACTTCCTAAATAGGAGTTTTAAACAGAGCGCTATTTCCCCAAAGTTTTGGAACTGTTTCCAAATTAAGGAACTGTGCGAAGCTAGTTCGAAGGAAATCAAAACATTCTGAAATTTTCCAAAATTTGGAAGCTACCGTGCCAATTTTTCTGGGCCCATTGCATACTCAATTTCATTTTTTTGGAAAAGTTTTTTTCGAAGACTTGCAACAATGAGAAATTTGGAAACATCAGTCACGTTTAAAACACCCCTTAGCCCGAGGCTCGCTACAGAGTCCTTTGTGGGGTGTAGCCCAACAGACAATATTGATGTGTGGTGAAGCTGTAATTAAGCTACCCTACATTGCAACTGGATGTATTAACACCCAGACAGGCGTCTCACCAAGCATGCGCATGCCCTGCTCGCTCGTTGACTTTTCTGCCTTCATCCACGTTCGCTGAAAACATCGAAGGATGTTTTTCAGCGTGCGTGCGATCATCTCCGTCAGCATCATATCCTTCAGCAACCTGTTCGATTTTTTATTTTTGGCGGGGGGATGGGCAGGTGGAGGAACAGACACACATGCGAAAAAAAAAAGCAGCCGTCATCGTGAGTAAGTGAACAGCAAGGGGGCGGTTGTACATGGATGAAAAAAACAACAATAGCAAGAAAGAGTGTCCGCGAGAGCGTCGTCGGGTAACCGGCACAACGAAGAAAGCCGACAGAACAGAAGCATACTGTAAAGACTGCCACACATCCCTTTCGACCGTGGTATTATCTCGAATGGCAGTCTCTCTTTGTATGTATACGTTCAAAAAGATGTTCGTTCTCCTTTCCTTCTCGCTGATCGTGAGACATCGCAGGCTTCATCAAGAACAACGCCTCGTATACCAACAAACTCCCATCTCCTTCCTTGCCGATGGCGACACCATCCAAGCAGGCAGTCAAAACGTTTCACCGTTTCCTCCTCTCATTCTTGCAGTGGGGGTCCCCGAATAAGGCGGTCGCCCTGTATATGGCGTATGGAATTGGCTGGCCTAGACCGGATAATAACGTTGTTCTACACCTTGAATAAGGCAGCTGCCCTAAATAAGGCGGAAGTATCAGCTACACATTGAGTAAGGCGGCTGCCCTATAGAAGGCTGTCATTATCAGCTGCCCCACCGCCACCGCCTTATTGAGACACCCCACCGTACTTGTAACTCCCATTTTTCTTGTCGGAGTTGCTCACCCGTTCTCGGGCTTGTTCTGCTCCATGAGCAGAAAGCGCACTTTCCCGAGGTGTCGAACATTGACACCGTGCCTGCGAAAACAGAGTACACACAACAAGTCTAGTTAAAATAGTCAGGTTTCTGACAAAAACAAGCGGAGTCAACACACTCAGGTTTCTGACAAACCTGGATGAAGGCCAAACAGGTGAAAACATATACATTTTTTCGTTTTTCGCAAGCCGTATGAAAGCTCGACAACTTCGCACCCCGGGATTAAAAAAATGCCCACGAAGAGGGGGGGGGGGGGGGGGGTCCGGAAGTAAGGTAGAAGCACTCCCCGGCGGAGCTCGACGACCAATGCGTCTTCTGTACTGCATGAATCGTATACCACATCCTGACCTCCACATGTGTATCTCTTCGTCGACGTTGCAATGTGAAAAGACGGGATCGTCCTCGAGACACGTTCGGGAGATTGTACCCATGTGAAGGGGATCGCCACAATCTTCGCTATTCATCATGAAACAACCCGCTAGCGCCATCGTTCGGTCGCACCGCCTGCTCGGCGCGCCATCTTTGATTCGCTCCTCAATAGCTACCGACCAACTCGCCACCACGCACATGAGTTCTTCCGGGGTACGGGGCATGCCTTGAACTTTCCATGGGAACCGCTGTCATCAAAAGGGTTGATGAAAGATGAACAGCAAGGCTCCAACGTCAGCCGCGATATCTTCCAGCCCACACCGCTGACTCGAAGAGCCCACCGAACCAAACAGACGACCCGTTTAGACCCCAGGAGCCCACCGAACCAAAAAGAAAAAAACTGTACACAGCAGTCTGTAACGCCTGTTGCATTGTTTTCACCTGTGGAGCTCCACATCGAGGTGGAGTGTTTTCTGAACATCTTGGGGGAGGCTTGTCAGCTTTTCCACCACGTTGGGCACCGCAACCTCGAGCATCACCGAGGTCGCATCGTGGATCTGCGGGACCCAACCGGCACGACAGCGTAGGACAAGTGGAGCGCCCATCTAAATATAAGGGTCATGTAATGACGGCAACATGTTCAGCTGCAAGGTGTATGATCGCCTCTAGCTCTTCCGAGGCCTTCCCGCCCATCGTTGACAAGCGGGCAGACTCTACCACAATACACACACGTGGACTGGTGGGGGTCAACCTCAACCTCGTCGCACCACCACGACCACCACCACAACAACCCCAACAACCTCCATCGCTCACAAACACATTAACGTTCACCCGGTGCCGGCACCACTATCACCATCACCAACGACAACAACCGCAACCAACAACAACAACGACCACTCGTGACAAGCCTTCCAAACCCTAACGGAGGGAGAGTACGGTAGGAAGAACAGCATACTACCATGCAGCTGACCGAAGCTCAGCTGGCCGCGGCCACGGTCGTGGACTCAGGGAAGGCGGTGAAGGAGTTCGTTTGCTACGACAGCAGCGCCACGCTCGGCTCGTTGCCGACTCAACCACAACCACCATTCACCGGCTCGAACAAGGCATCAACCTAGTTCGCGAAAGAAAAAAAACACGGTGCTGTCGCGCCACCATTAAAACGCCTACCCCCAAGTTTAGGAACACCCCCCCCCCACAAGTAATGCAGCCGCCAGGGCAGAACTGGGGATCCGATCCCTACGGTCGGGAAGAGACTCAAGGAAGCTGACATTGCAGTATCGCATGTACGGTGTGGGAAAAGAGAGGTTACCGAGAATAGCTTGGGAGGTGGAGTGGGCAAACAAGAAGAAGAGGGGTAGACAACCCACGAGTGGGTCAACGTTGTACGTGACGTATCGAAGGGGTTCGATTGACGAAGGCGAACGCTGGATACGGAGGGTCTCAAAAGGGTAAGGGTTCAAGGAGAAATATCTGTTGGTGTTGCCGAGAGAGAAGAACAGAATCTAAGAAAAAAAAAACAAGGATAAGGAGGGTCTAGAAGTGTACGGAATGTTGAAAGAAGGAACAGGTACCAACATGGACCAATGGATGCAGGGACAAAGGGTCAAATTCAGGACCGGGGGCATTGGCCTTCGAGAACGTAGCCGAAGATGAGAACGACAAGTTCAAATGTGATTGCGACTCCGAGTGCGAAGACCTTGTTCATGTAGTCGCGGAATGTCGGCTGTACAAGGAGGAGAGGGGAGTGTACATGACTGAGCTGGGACAAGTAGAGGCAAAGAGTACAGGGACATGTTTGAGGCATGGGATAGACAGGAGAAGACGTTAGCTGCACTGGGGCACAGGAAGTGGGTTGAAAAGGCGAGAAATGATATCGGTAGGATGGATAAACTAGGGACGACATTTTTGAGCCACCTTTGGCAAAGTAGGAAGGAACGATTGGCCATCGGTGATCGATCCTGTGGGAACAATGCTCCGTCCTCTCTAGAACGCGTGGTCAATGGTCTTAACCGCTAAGGCATGCAAAGCATAAGAGTACCCTCCCCCCCACCCCCTTTACTGGGATATTTCTGCAATACTCCGGTATGGCAATCTGTCCACTTCAGTCAGTTCCTCTTGTACCTCCTGGTTTCGCTCGGCTCGGTCGATACTGCCCTTGGTGAAGAAGGTCAAGGCATCGGGGGAAAGGGGGATGAAGCGATACCCGTCCGCTGAATCATCGGAAGCCGTCACTGCCGCAGGCTAAGGTAGCAAAGGTCGGGAGGCCAGAGCAGCAGAAGCAGCAGCGGCAGCGGCAGCGGCAGCGGTGGAAGAACAGAAAGGTGGGACAGATCTCAGCTCAAATGGAGTAGGAACGCGGACAGCTTAGGGTAGGACAGTTTGGAGACAAATCTTTGACCTGACCCTGAAACTTCCTGATGAAAGCTCGGCGTCAGGATGGTACTGGGGACAAAGCACGCGTGCACTGCCGGGAAACACGCAGCAGCTGCAGGAGGAGGGGACACCCCCTACAGAACAACAAGGCGACAGCGACAACAACCACGACGACGACGGCATCAGCCGCCGCAACAAGAACAAGAACAAGAACAAGAACAAGAACAAGAACAAGAACCAGAACAGAACAACTACAACAATACCAGTAACAGCCACAAACAACCACACAACCCGCACTTGACCTGTTGGTCACCGTCGTCAGGTTCAGGTTCAGGGTCGGGGTAGAACCGGTAGGACACGTTGGCCCGGCCCCTGGTCATATCCTCCAGTACCACTCCCCGTCCGGCGCCCCCCCCGACTGTGACACAAGGCCACGAGAGCAGGGGGAGCCGGAGGACGAGATAGCGGGGCGGGAAGGGCACATGGACAGCCCGGAAGCGAGAGGAGGGAGGGACAAGGTATTTTCGGCTGCTTTGCTAGCTGTTGGTGTTGCTGGCTGGACGTTCAAACCCGATTAGGGCCGCACGAACCATCGCACCCCCCCATCAAGACCGATTTTCAAAGCTCGAAACTTTTCCAGCGCAACCACCCCGTTCGGCATTGGAACCCACTTTGGTTGTGGAGGCAATCGAGCGGTGAAAGTCGGTCTAGCGTGAGTGCGATTCCTACGGCACCTGTCCCAACGCCGCGCCCTTACCTTGGACGGGAGAGGCGCCGACGCAACTTCCTACGAAGTCCCAGGAGTAGTCACCCAGATCGCACAAAAAAAACAGTTTCGGGCCATGAAAGTCCTTGTTTGCGACTTCTTGCGCTACGGCAAGCCAGACCTATCGGAGATAGAGGTAAAGATATTCTTCTGGTGAACTGCTATTGTTCGGTGTTTGGCAATAGAGACCAAATCTACCCATCGAACAAGGCCGTAAGTACTGCGCGATTTGTCTATACTTGACAACCAACCTTGTTAGAGCTACCAGTACTAACGTCACATTGATGATCACTAATCTTCTTCGGCTTTCCAAAGCGAAATTAGCGAACCGAAACGAACGTAATAGAGGTGAAATCAACGGAGGAATCTCGTCCCAATCACACCTCCCAAACGAGCCCATACAATAATATAAGTGAGCTCTGTTGTGGAATCACGTCCCGACCATATCCCCCTAACTCAAACAAACACGAGCCATGGCACAATTACTTCCCGAGAGCCAAAATTGTGTCTTACCTCAGGGCACACACAAAAAAAAAATCTGCACAAATGAATGCCACCAGAAAGAGGTGGCAAACTCGAAGTTCGATTGGACCAATAACATATTTTGACCCCTACCCCTTGACGCTAACCCACCGTTGCCCTCGCTCCCTGTTCCGCCTCCTCCGAAGAGTATCGATTGACCGGTTTGCCCTTGCCCCTGTCGGCGGAAAACGACACAAAAATCGAGCAACGCGTTCGTTAGAGGAGGTTAGTCATTTTCCTTCCGCGGCACGGGCGGCATTCTCACTGCGTGGTGGGGCATAGTCGGCAAATGCGGGGAGTAAAAAAAAAAGGCTCCGAGAAGAAAAAAATGTGCGTCGTGTGAACGGCCTTGAACATGAACAAACATCACCACCGCTAACATTGTCACGAACACCATCATACACATCACGAACGCCATAATCACGATCATCTACAACTTCAACAACATACCCACAAGACACGTGTCATTCATACCGCGCTGTATCAACATCAAGAAAACTAGCAGGGGACGAGACACGCCCTGTTCGTGAAATCCCAGGCAAGGAACGACTACGTTCCCGGAGATGGTCAATCGAACACGTTCGTACATCTACTTGTAACGGACGCAAGACTTACGTGGTTGTCTGGGTACACCTGCAGACAGCGAACGCAAGTGCGCACGGGGGGGGTGGAGGTGGCGGGTCAAAAACGCAACGATTGGGTCAAAACAAGCTGCATTAGATGGCATCGGCAACGCCAAGAAAGGGCGTCATGTTTTCCCTCCTCTTTCGATCCGAAGAAAGAGCGTCTCTGGAACCTGCAAGCAAAGGACTACCATCAGTACTACTTCTGTGCACCAAATGAAGGCAAGCACCGTATTTTCTGGGGTTCATTTTCATTTTGTTTATATTTTTTCAGAAGGTGTACCCCCCCTTGGGGACAGTTGGCTTGTGACCACGAAAGGCGTCCGCGTCAGTTGAACCAGTACAGAAAGTACAGACATTAGAAGGTACTGAGCGGAGATCCGAACGGTTCTTAATGTGAAGACAACAACAACAACAACAACAACAACAACAACAACCGCAGCGGAAAAGGTGGAGAGGAGGTGAGAGATAACTCTGGCGTTTACCTTCAACATTTTCTACTAGCTGGGCTTGCAGCTTCTCGGTCCTCGTGCCAAACCCTTACCGGAGCCGACCCGGCCCTCCCAAAATACGACGACGAGAAGTGATAGCTCTGGACACCGACCAAGCCGATGCGCCTGCTACGCCTGCTGCTGAAGGACCAGTTGTTCGAGCTGCCCGCACGGAGCGAGCCAGTGGGCAACCCCCTCTCGTACCTGTCGATCGCACAAAAAAAAAAAAACGGTGGTGGCGAGAGATCTCGTCGCGGAGCGGGCCGTTCTGCGGACCCCCCCCCGATAACGCCCGCCCTAAAAAACTCTAGTTCAAGCCGGGAGTGGAGTTCTTAGATCCTCCTGCGGGCTACGAATGGTCGCCACATGGGTTTTGGTGTGAGGGATTATTAACCGGGCTCGCAGGTGGTGCTATTTATGTTCCAGACAACGTTGAGCATGAAGTACTTAGCCAAGTTCTGTAAACGTGCGGGCGGGCGTTGTCCGTACACACTCACTGATTGTTTTCGTCGAAGTCGATGAACGCTTCGCACGACCCGCCGGACTCAGTCAACGTCAAGGTTTCCACGTTGGCGTCGTAACCGTCAGTGGCCGGGTCCCGGCCCCCCTCCCTCCCGCCCCCAGGCATGCCCCTCCCGGGCGGGGTGGCATCCCCCCTCCTTCCGCCTCCTCCGTGCGTCCTCCTGCCGGGGGTCCCGCGGACCGGAGGAGTCTGCGGTACTTTTCGGCGGAATGTTACACTTGGGGACGCTGCGGCAGCAGCGGTGGGGGCAGGGCTTCCACTTGGTGGGCTGGCGTTGTCGACGGCCTCGCCGCCGCTGCCCGGGATGGAGGGGGCGTTCCAGCCGGTCGGGGCGGCGTGTTCGTCGCCGTTTCCGCTCACATCCACGCCCCGCTCAGAATCGTCCAAGAACCCTTGCTCATAATGCCCGGACAGAGGGTTGAGCGGAGGCGGCGCCTCATCCCCGTGTTCGACCGGTCCGAAAGCCCTACCGCCGGTGTCGGCGGCGGCGTCTGGGGCGGGTCCTTGCCCGTCCTGAGGACCGCGTGACGCCAACGGGCGGAAGGCCGCCGTCATCGGCAGCGCCGCTCCCGTCGAAGAGCCCGAGGTTGCCCCGGATGAGGCCCCGCTCTCTTCTTCGGGCCTTTCGGAGATCCTGGAGGGGAAACCGATCGGCAAGGTCCGCGCGGCAGCGGGGGCGGGGCTGTCCAGTTCTTGCCGTGCTTCTGCTGCGGCGGCCGTCGGTACTGCTGCCGCTCCCACATGGGCTCCCTTTCTCCGTGGAAGGCACACGCGCAAGGAGGGACAAGCAGGAGTCGTTGTAAGGTGAGAAATGGGAAGAAACGACAGCGGCGGCAGCAGCAGCAGCAGCAGCAGTGCTGCACCTGGGGGGGGCACAAGCAGGATCGTCGTTATGTACCATAGTGGTGGGAAGCAACGACAGCAGCAGCAGCAGCAGCAGCAGCAGCAGCAGCAGCAGTGTCACATGAATACATTTGAACATCCTCCTCGGTCGACGAGACTTGTTGGACGTGTTGGTTTTTTTGTTGTTCACATACATGGAACAAAACAACGTTCACGTCAAAATAAAGCAACAACAGCCGCCGTCGGGTTTCTCGGCACAATTTGTAGTATTTCGGCGTTTTACCGATTGGAAAACTGCGGGCCACAATTATTTTTCGGCCTGGCGCGACCGGGGGGGGGGGCAGTTGAGCCCGTGATTGCTTAAGCTTTCCCTAATGTCAATGATGTGTTGACTCGTCTTCGATTACTGTACTGCATCGGCATGAATACCACGATGGAAGAAACCAAAACTTAGGTTTCGACCCCTCGTGTGTGTATGTGTGTTTTGGTCCTACCTCATCAGTCCCTGCACCCCCTGGTGCCTCACATCATTGACGAAATGGCCGAGGTCAAACAGGAGGGAAGTATAATAGGGGCTGCGTGGGCAACCTAGTCTTGACAGTTCCTTTTTGGTTCGTTGAGGTTCGCTGGGCTCTTCGAGTCAAAACACGTCAGCTGTGTGAGCATGGGAAACGTCTTACCGCAACTGGCGCTGTGGGCTGGTCCTGCTGCCTGCTTTCATCGCCATTCTTCATCACCCCTTTATGACAGTGTTCTCTCATCGGCCCACTCCGGAGGGATGGATTTATCACTATTTATATTGTTGACCCTTTATCTATGGACAGAGATAGATTGATGGCGTTAAACAAAAAACGTTTGCAGCCTCCGTAGACCGAACAAACCGGCGAATATTGTGACACCGGAGAATTTACATCTATCACGATTGTGTACGTATCTCGATGCGTGTTGGTTCGGCTCGGTTTTCTGGGGTCCCAGAGAATGGCGGGTTCTCACCACGACCGCCATTGTCTCCGAGTCACCCTTGACGAATTCGGGCCGGAGCATTCTCCAGAAAACGGACTGGTAACGGTCCGATATCTTGTCCCCGAAGACTTCTATGACTTCTCGGGTTGAGTCGAGCAGGACCTGAGGGATGTGCGTGCGCGGTATGCATGGATGAGGGAGGTGCGTGGCATCACGCACATTCGGACGCACGGTTGTTGTCGTCGTCGTTTTCACAACAACAACAACAACAACAACAACAACAACAACAACAACACAAAATCCGGTCTGTGTCCAAGAACCCGTTAATTTATATTTGATTCATGACACCATACCGAGGATCATCTAATCAAAGAATTTGGCGATAGCAGCTTCTCGCTAGTTGTCGGAGCGAAAAAAGGAAGTGATCTCTTGTGCGCGAACAGATTTCCAGACATTATATTTGTCTGATCGCTGTTTTATTTTCCCGTCCGCACCTGCTCAGGCAACGACGAATTTTCATGGCCACAACGCCTAACCCCCCCCCCGAAGGACGTTTTTCTACAAAAGAGAAAGGGGGGGGCGAACGACAAGGAATAACATACGGAAAACAACACACCGGAATAAATGCGAGCGAAACGCCAGGTTGATTTGTACCGTCCAACCTGTTTGGGCACAGTAAATGTGAAACTCTTTGCCAGAAACACGGGTCTGGATACAGAGTAAAAGAAATTGTACGTGGTTCGCTTTTTTCCGGGGTGGGGGGAAGACACGCTAGACCGAATCTACGGGTGGGTTTCGCCGATTGGACGCACAACTCAATCAGTACCTGTTTGGGGTTTACGCAACGAAGCGAAGACCACGTGTTGCCCAGAAGATAGCAGAACCACTGGCAGATCACGCGACATCACCGTAGATTGCGTAAGACACCACACCCCCTGGACCGATTTTCCAAGTGCAATTGCTCCCCGAGGAAGGGGACGCCAAAAAATACCAATACGTGTTTCGGAAAGCTCTCGACGAGACAGTTCCAACGCTACCACTTTCGGCTCCCTTACTGCTCTTCCTTGCCGAGTAATCCAGCGGTACAGAGGGTGTGGTATCTTACGCAACCTTTGGTATTTCTTTCACTGATCGTTCTTCGGCGACAAAAACATAAGGCCAGACTCGTTACCTGATACTTGATGTTTTTCCTCGCCAGGTTGTGCCTGTCTAACGGGACCATAGCCGACAAGATGATGCCTTTCTTGGGGGGGTAGTAGATGTGAACATACACGGGGGTCCTGTCGCTGAGGATGTCCGACAGGTGGTCCACCTGGTAAAAAGTGGGCAACCATGGGAAGCGTCCCCGTCAGTTGGACCGGACGGATGTTTTGAGGAGAGACCGGAACGGTATTAATTGTGAAGACAACAACACGTACTGGGGGCGGGCGGGGGGGGGGGGGTATTTTGGAGGGGCGTCCCGCAGGAGTGTTGCCTTATACCAGGCGATTTTGAACGCATGAAGTCACGGAAGTACTGGGGGGGGATTTCCGCATTATTCAGGGGGAGAAACAGCCTTCGATGCATTTGTCGCGTCACGCTTTTTCACCGGCACTATTGCGGGCATGCGGCACTGTAGCGGGCATCCGCCAGGACGGTGTACCTAGCCCCCTTTCAAGCTTGGGTGAATCACGTGGGGACTCCGCCGCCCACGAGGCGGGGGGAGTGAATATTTTATTTGCCACAATTAGTTTGAACATCGAGGAGTTTGTATCCGTGATGTTACATACCGGTGTGCAACAGTTGTGGACGGGTAAGGCAGGCAATTCACGCCATGCTCACGGTTCTTCTGGTGGCCACGGCGGTGATGATGACAATATCATGATCAACAACAACCCAGACTGTGTAGCAGCAACAACACCAACAAAGAAGCGAATATTTCAGATGGATCCTACCAAAGGGGGGAGGAGTCTGAAATTGGTGTTTATTGGAGTTGGTAGAAGGAGTGGGCATTTATATTATATGGCAAAGAGTATGTCTGCGTGCTTGCAGGAGAGGAGGCATGCGCACCGAGATAAGGCAGCTGCCCGCAGGACATTCCGTTTGCGCCCGATCACGTTGGAGCATCAGCAGTGCTGGAGCACAGGGACTGCTAGACGTACGATTGGACAACACTCTGCCAGCTGCTGGTTTAGGACATTCTGTTGCGGGAGCTAGTGTTGTCGTCTTTTCCGACGGGGCGGAGGCCACTACCGCTGGGCGGGAGGAGTCGCTACGTCGAGCCTGGAACACATCGACTTCGCTTGGTACGTGCGACTGACTGCGATGTGGCGTGTTATCCCAGCAGCATCACAGCGAGAGCTGGCTTTCGCAGACAGCAGTTAGTGCACACAATGACAAATGTTGTTATTGTATACGGCACACGGGGGCCGAGGCTGTAAGGATTCACGTGCCATATGTGAAGTGGCGGGCGGGTGTGGGCATGCTGTATCGATGTTGTTGACTGCTGTTGGGCGTGTTCGGAAAGCGCGTCCGAAGAAAGAAGCCACCGGTTACTGGTGTGACTGCGGTGTGTGCGCGGGTGTGCATGCGGTAGGCGCCGCGACTCCCTCGATTCGTTCGCTTGCGCGGGGTACCGGCCGAGTTTGCATCATGCGACAGCAGATATCATCGAGCATGTCCGAAGCACCCGATCACTTCTGGTGTGCTGAGTGATGGTCACATAGAGCGGTACGAGCGCGTGTTCGCGTTCCTATGTATGCATACAGCATATATTTATGTCTCACCGACAATGTGGTTAGGTGGCCGCGGTGCGTGTGCTGGTGTGCGCGGGAGAGGCGCCGCGGCCGGTTATGGGTGTCGCATTACAGGGCACCGTGCCGAAGGTGGAATTCGGGGTGCTGCGTGCGGTTATGATGTGACTGCGGTCCCAATTTTTAAATTTCAACGCATCGACTATGAGAATGATGCGAAAGACAGGACCGCATCGAAAACGCGTTGTGCTTTCCGGTCCGTAGTGTCAGAGACACTATGGTGTGATTATCAGAAATACTGATCGCGAGACGAGACACATCGTCTGGGGGTGTTTGTCGCAGTGCGACAAGGGTGGTGGATTGGTGACACACAAAACTGCCGTCCAAACCCAGTGCCAAACCCACACACAAAAACAAATCTATTTTCGGTTGTTATTGCTGCTTGTCATGTCGTGTACACTTGATGGACGGGTTTTTTTTTCCCACGAGGTTTTCCAGAAGTCAATGTGGACCGGATGAGAAGAGTACGATGACCGATCGTTGGACATGATAACGACTAATCGATGATGGGTCGTAGTTATCAGGGGCCGAAAGCAAGATGTATGGCATGTAGGTCGCTGGTGCGAATGTGGACGGCATGAGGCCGTCATGGCACATACTGAATCTTGCATGGGCCGGTTGGGCACGCACGAATGTGGGTAGTCGTGCGTGGAATAATCGGTGGAACGGCACGATAAACAAAGAAAAATCAATAGATATGGAGCTGGTTGCGCTGGAGCGTATGGTGCCGGCTCGCGGCCTATTGATGGTGGCGTCTCGTCATGTGATGAGTCGTGGTGATCAGGAGCCAACAGCAAGATGTATGGCATGTAGGCGCTGGTGCGCCTGTGTAACGGCGTGCGGCCGTCATGACACATACGGAATCTTACATGGGCCGGTTGTGCACGCGCGACGGTGGATCGCGGTGCTGGGAATAATCGGTGGAACGGCACGATCAACGGAAGAAGTCAATAAAGAGCTGGTTGCGCTGGAGCGTATGGTTGCCGGCTCACGGCCTATTGATGGTAGACCCAGGCGGACATTGAAGATGATCCGTAATGGTCAGGAACCGCACGCCAGGCGTATGGCATGTAGGTCGCTGGTGCGACTGCGAGACGATACGAGGTCGTCAGGACACATACCATATGTGGCAGGGGCCGGTTGTGCGCGCCCAAATGTGGATTCCGTGCATGGACAAATCGGTGGAACCAAATAATTTGGTGGAAAGACACACGGCACACAAACCAACCCAACAACAGAATGCGTACGTGACCCATTCGACAGTCTATCATCGCGCATTTCGTGAGCCTAGGCCCGGCGATGCCTAAGCACAATGGTCAGATTGGGTGGTGCATGGTTTGCACCGGTGTGTGGATCAGGGGTGGCACTATGTACATGTGACAGTGGTGGGTGCCGCAGATAAGCATGCTTCGTTAGTCATCCACGAGTGATGTACTGGTGTACATGGAGCTGCATACAATGATGCGAAAGGAAATCAATAGCATCGCAAAAGTGTTGTACTTTTCGATCCATATTGTCAGAGAAACTATGGTGTGGTTGTGATAAATCCCGATCACAAGACGAGACTTATTATCTAGGGTGTTTGTCGGCGCGAGACAAGGGTGGTGGATTGGTGAAAAACCGCCGTCCAAACCCAGAGACAAACACAAATCTACTTTCGGTTGTCGTTGCTGCTTGTCATGTCGTGTACACTTGATGAATGTTTTTTTTTTTCCACGAGGTTTTCCAGAAGTCAATGTGGACCGGATGAGAAGGGTGAGATGATTGATTGTCGAACATGGTACAATTGTAGCGACTAATCGGGTGACGAGTCGTGGTTACCAGGAGCCGAAAGCAAGATGTATGGCGTGAATGTCGCTGGTGCGACTGCGAAACGGCATGCGGCCGTCATGACACAGACTGAATCTTACATGGGCCGGTTGTGCACGCGCGAATGCGGGTCGTCGTGCATGGAATAATCGGTGGAACGGCGAGATAAACAAAACAAGTCAATAGATATGGAGCTGGTTACGCCGGAGCGTATGGTTGCCGGCTCACGGCCTATTGATGGTAGCGTCTCATCAGGTGAGGAGTCGTGGTTAGCAGGCGAGATAAACAAAACAAGTCAATAGATATGGAGCTGGTTACGCCGGAGCGTATGGTTGCCGGCTCACGGCCTATTGATGGTAGCGTCTCATCAGGTAATGAGTCGTGGTTAGCAGGCGAGATAAACAAAACAAGTCACTAGATATGGAGCTGGTTACGCTGGAGCGTATGGTTGCCGGCTCATGGCCTATTGATGGTAGCGTCTCATCAGGTGATGCGTCGTGGTTATCAGGAGCCGAAAGCAAGACGTATGGCATGTAGGTCGCTGGTGCGACTGCGGAACGGCATGCGGCCGTCATGACACATACTGAATCTTACATGGGCCGGTTGGGCGCGCGCGACTGTGGGTCGTCGTGCATGGAAAATCGGTGGAACGGCAAGATAAGTCAATAGATATGGAGCTGGTTACGCTGGAGCGCATGGTTGCCGGCTCACGGCCTATTGATGGTAGCGTCTCATCAGGTGATGCGTCGTGGTTATCAGGAGCCGAAAGCAAGATGTATGGCATGTAGGTCGCTGGTGCGACTGCGGAATGGCGTGCGGCCGTCATGACACACACTGAATCTTACATGGGCCGGTTGTGCGTGCGCGACTGTAGGTCGTCGTGCGTGAAATAATCGATGGAACAGCACGATAAACAGAACAAGTCAATAGATATGGAGCTGGTTATGCTGGAGCGCATGGTTGCCGGCTCACGGCCTCTTGATGGTAGACCAGGATGGCGGGTCGTTGGAGATGATCCGTGGTGGTCAGGAACCGCGCGCCAGGTGTATGGCATGTAGGTCGCTGGTGCGACTGCGAGAAGGTATGCGGTCATGACACATACCAAATGTTGCATGGGCCGGTTGTGCACGCCCGAATGTGGGTTGTAGTGCACGGGATAGTCGGTGGAACGACATAATTTGGTGGAAAGAAACAATATATGTAGAGTTGGTTACGCTGGTGTGTATGGTACTGGCTTACGGCCTCGCGTCTCGCCCACTTGTTGCGCATCGATGTGGTAAACCCAGACACCTGTGTCGATGTTGCTAGTACAGGTGGGCAGGGAGACAGGGTTTGTTGTCTTTTCCTGGCATGCTTGTAGCAAGGAAAAACAAACATGCGAGACTACGGGAGTGGAGAGAGACACGGAACCAACATGTATGCCGTCATATGATGAGACTACATACATGTGCCGCATGGGTGCGGGCGTCTTCTTATGGACACCTCTAAACAAGAATTGCTGTCTATCGGTGTACACAGCTTCGCATCCCACTAGCCCGTGGCGCATCAAATACATCGATAAATCCGTCGATGACGCTGGTATGAATGGGAAGGAATCGTCTCACATACGAGGGATGGAGGGATGGGTATGCAAGAAACCATAGCTGGACGGAGCCAAAACACAAACGCGCTCGTGGAAAGTCGACACATGTACTGGTGGACATGATCGCGCAACTTATTGGCCTACGCCCGGTGATGTCTAGGCACAGTGGTTCACATCTGATAAGGGGAGCATGTGGTTCATTGCACACCATGATGGCGTGTCGTCTGGGGACGAGTCGTGGTTGTCAGGAGCCGGCCGCCAGATGTATGACATATATGTTGCTAATAGCGTGCCTACGAGACGGAAGGCGGCCGTCATGACACACGATGTATCTTGCAATGACCGGTCTGGTACACGCGACTGGTGGGTCGTCGTGCACTGCTTGAGGGGTACATGGTCCGACTGCACCGGCTATTACACGAGCGAGGAGATGTTACTGTGCGCGCTGGTAGGCAGGTGTATACCGTGACGCGTTTACTACATCATCGTTCTGACGTCCCCCATATATAATTTTGTCCTTGTGTCTTCATACCCAATTGTTCGCCCGTGATCAGGATATTGATCGGTCATCGGGGGGCCGTCGTCGGGGGACGGGGGTATGAGTCGGGACGGGGACGTCTCGGATGAGTCCGTGATTGGCCGCGAGGAGTACCAGGCGGAAAGGCAGGACAGCGCTAACGAACGGGCCATTATTAGCGCGTCGGTTGAGGACCTCAAAACCGACATGGCGGCGAGGTTCGAGGAGGCGCTGGCGGCCGTACGCGCTCGGAGCGACGGGTCTGCGGCGGGTGGTGCTGCCGGGGTTGCGCCAGCGCCGATGTATGGGGGCGCGGGGGCGCAGGGCTCCTCGTCCGATGCAGTCGTTACCGAGCTAGGACGTAGAGCCACGGACCATGTTGAGGTCCCCTTGCCTAGCGAACGGGATACGCCACCCCCCTTTCCCCCTGGGTGTCGCATTCCCCCCGGTTCAGGAGGCGGTCGTTCCGACTCGTTTTTCGTGAAGCCCTATGTAGACGGTGGTATCCTTGTCGAAGTCATGTGGACCCCGACTGGCGCACGGTGTAAAGTGTCGTCCGCGTCGTGTGAATCGGACCATTTCCGTGTGTTTGGCGCGCGAGGGCCTGGGGACCCCCCCCCCTGTTGTCTCCGCATAAACTCTCTTCGTGGCAAACACGATTGTGTGTGCTCGGGTGGGACATTGATACAGTAGCTATGACGATTTCGGTTCCCGCAGACAAGCTGGCACGTCTGCGGGCGCAATCCGCGAGTGGCCCCCCAAGCGCCACTGTGCTTCTGAGCCCGAGTTGCGGGGGGTGATTGGTTCGCTGTTGCATATATGTGAAGTCGTGCGGCCTGGTAAATACTTTGTTCGCCGTGTGTTCAACCAGTTGGGGCTCCCGCCGGTGCAATTGACAGCCCGGGGGCAGGAGCGGACACGGATAGGTCCCGAGTTTCATGCAGAGATGCAGTTTTGGCGTCTGATGGTAGACGGGGGCTTGGGGTCGCCGTCGCGGGTGTTAACAGCCCCACTTGTTAATTTGTTTGTTTTTTCGATCAACCATATTCGTGTCTTTTGTGGTCAGATGCATCTGGTGATGCCATGGGGGGGTATTTCTTGCATGCTGAATTCCGTTCGGGAGTATAATGGTGTTTCGAATTCAGTCAGGACGTGCGGGAGCGGTTTCGCCAGCAGGCTGAGGTCTTGGACCCGGAGGTCTCCGATATTTGTACCGGCGTTTTAGCTGCGAGTACGTCCGCGAGTCAGTTGCGCAGTCGTCTCGAAGAACTTACAGGTCGGGTTGGCGGGCTTAGTGTGTTTTTCTCGGGTTGATTAGCGAGTCGGTGTACCTCTCGGGGGAGGCGGACGATACGGTGCTGGGACAAGCACTCCTGGAATTTGTGGCGTGGTGTTGTGCAGGTAAGGGTAACGTTGCACCGACCATTTCCGGCAAGCTCGCCGCTGTACAGTATTTTCATCGCGTCGATAGGCAGGTCTATGCTTGGCGTTGTCGTATTTTCTGGTGGCGCGTTCGGATGTGATTTTTGCCACGATGTCGGGACACTGCCACCAGGTGCATTGTTTGCGGCGGAGCGACGTCGAGTTTTTCGACGGGGAGCACGTGTTAACCCCGTTGCACTGGCACAAGGCTACGGGTGTCCGGGTTCGGTTTCGTGGCCACAAGGGAGATCAGTCGGAATGGGGGCGTACGTTACACGAGTGCGCGATGTCGCACGAGGTCCGAGTTCTCAGATAGGCGCCGGTGGCGGTGCCGTGGCGGTGTTGGTGGAATTGATGGCGTGCCATCTTGCTTTGCCTGAGAACGCCCCTCTGTGCTCGTTTCGTTGCAGTAGGAGCAGGTCGGTTAAGGTTTGGGGATATTCCAAAGCTCTTAGCGCCCTTCGCCAGATTGTGGAGAAGGTAGGTGGCGACCCGAGACAGGTTGGCTTGCATTCATTGAGGATCGGGGCCGCCACCACGTTGGCAGCGGGAGGAGACGTACCGGATAGAATTATACAGAGAGAGGGTAGATGGAAGGAAGGGTCCGGTACGTACAAGATATATACTCGGGACAATATGGTGGACGTAGACATAGTATCCCGTAAACTAGCAAAGGGATGGAAGGAGCAGAAGGAGGGTTAGCATATACGAAGGTACGGGCAAGGGAGACAGAATGCCGTCCCACTAAACGTCGATGTTGGTGGATGTCAATGGTAGAGTACCATTGGGGGTCTCGGTATACTGAGACGACATTTTGTTAGGCCCAGCCAGTTGACATGAAAGGAAACTTGGATTCTGGATGAGAGAGGGAAGCGACCGGTGTCGCCCCCTCGTTATTTGCCAGAGAGTTACCTTTCAGACTTCGTGGAAAATAATAATAATAATGACACTTCGGAAAATACAATAAAGCGAATATTTCAGATGGATCCTACCAAAGGGGGGAGGAGTCTGAAATTGGTGTTTATTGGAGTTGGTAGAAGGAGTGGGCATTTATATTATATGGCAAAGAGTATGTCTGCGTGCTTGCAGGAGAGGAGGCATGCGCACCGAGATAAGGCAGCTGCCCGCAGGACATTCCGTTTGCGCCCGATCACGTTGGAGCATCAGCAGTGCTGGAGCACAGGGACTGCTAGACGTACGATTGGACAACACTCTGCCAGCTGCTGGTTTAGGACATTCTGTTGCGGGAGCTAGTGTTGTCGTCTTCCCACCCACGCCACCCTCAAAAAAAAATTTCCGAAAGAGGGGGGGGGGGGGGGGGCGATAACAGGGGGTATGTATACCGGGAAGATATGTAGTAGACATGTCGATTTATGATTGCTATTATTCCACGGGGAACTGGGTGATGAGGGTCTGATTGGTGGATGTGGATGTCAATGGTAGAGTACCATTGGGGGTCTCGGTATACTGAGACGACATTTTGTTAGGCCCAGCCAGTTGACATGAAAGGAAACTTGGATTCTGGATGAGAGAGGGAAGCGACCGGTGTCGCCCCCTCGTTATTTGCCAGAGAGTTACCTTTCAGACTTCGTGGAAAATAATAATAATAATGACACTTCGGAAAATACAATAAAGCCACAGTTAACAACAACGACGTCAACATTGAAGCAAAACAAAAATTAAGGAAACAGCTACAATTACCCAACGATGACAACAATATCTTTGGAGAAAACAGCCCCATCGACAACACACCTTTTTCGGGCTCTCTGGTGGGAAGCTCCGGGCGAAGTCAAGCAGGTAGTGGCTACCGCCTTCACCGACGTGTCCTTCGATGTCGCATGCCGAGTACATTTCCTGCACATCCATTATCATAATCATCTTCATCAGCGTCATATCTACCATCGACATGGTCATCATTATCGCCATCATCTTCGTCATGATCGTCACAAACATCACTGTCATCACCACCAGCTCACTCATTAACCATGCGGCGCATAAACTACAGGCAGTGTGGGTCCGCTTACCTTATCATTGACCCAGTGCGTGCGGAGGTTGAGCTTCTTTGCCACGGCCTTGAGCTTCTTGGCCAGGTTTTCGCTGTCATTATGAACAGTCCTGCCCGCGTCAGACGACCCGTAGCGAAGGGTTTCCGAGCTCACCGGAAGCACGGCCTGACAACAGCAGAAGCAGCAGCAGCAGCAACAACAAGCACAAGATCAACGGCGGGATTCCGAGGTCACCGGAATAACGACTCGACAACAGCAGCAGCAACAACAACATCATAAACGCAGGTATTCCGAGCTCACCGGAAGCCCGGCTTGACAACAGCAACGGCAACAACAATAATTACAACAACGATTGCCAGAATGTCAAGTACGTTCGCCCCGTCTACCCTGGACGCCTGGACCTACCAAGGAAACAAAAATGAAGTTACACCGGTCGCCCCGGTGATCCAGTTGTAACCTCGAAACCGCTAGTGGCGAAGTCGTGAGTTCGGATCCCCATGGGGGGAGGGGGTGTACTCATAGTCGTGGATGCCGTAGTCGTTAGACCATTGACCTCGCATCCCCACAAAGCCGGGACGGAGCACGCCGGGTTCTCACCGGACCAGGCTCTCACATCACCAAGCGCGAAGCGCCGTGAGGTATTCGGCGAGTCACATGAATGGTGCGCTGCATCCTGCTAAGGGTGTTCGGCACCTTGTGCTTACTTCCTTGTGTACGGATGACAGCTGCGCATGACTTCACATATTTTCTTGTCCTTTCACTTCCAGGGGCAGTTCTAAGCATTGTGTATCTGCGTCGAGGGTGCTTGACCAATTTTAACACAACGTGGTGCGATCATCTCCTTTGCGCGGAGTGAGGGTTCTTGACCCCGCACTACATAATCTACTGGACCACCATTATGGTCGCCGCAAAAAAAAAAGCCAAAGGCGAAAAAAAGAGAGAAGCGGTAACCTGGTTGCCGAGCTCACAAAGTGATCGGCTTATTTTACAACGTCGTTGCCAAGCGACGAAAACCCAACCCCGATGGCAAACACCGAGGGGGGGTCGAATCCCCATGGGGGTGAAAAATTTACAACTTCGCACGTAAAGCGAAAGAAAAAAAGATGAAAAGCTCTCGAGAGTACCAAACTTCGAGGTTAGCACCGTCAGCGAGGGAAACGGACGGCTGGACCCTTCTCGCGATAAAGAAAACAAAATTCAGCACGCACCGCAGGAGGAAGGTGGAGCATGAAAACAAAACATAAAGAAAAAGAAAGCCACGGTGTTTCTCCCTTCCTGTGTGACCCTGGATGGTTGTAGATGTACGAAAAAGTAAACTGAAAAGTGTAGTACTCCACATACACTGAATAGTGAGGTACACGTCTCACCACGAAAAACGGGGGGGCTGTCGCCATAGGAAATAGGACGAAAAACGCAACACAACAGGGTACTGATCCCGACTACGGTACGCCCGTGATATCACAGGTCCCGATTGCGACCCCGGATACCTAACTCAACAAACAAATACGCCCCGCAGTGGTAAAACCAAAGGAGCAAAATCCAGCATAATAGTAATTCCACAAAATGGCACCATGGTACAACACCCCGGAACAGGCGGTGGAAGAGGCAAAACACGCCCAGACAACAAAAAATTACAAATAAATGGTACACACCAGACGATGTTGAAAGTTTTATTTACAGTTTCACCTGTGCCGTCATTCGGAAGCCCTTGTAGTCGATGAGGCACTGGAGCGCGTACCGCAGCCCGCGAATGCGTGCGTCTAGGTAGTGTGTCGCGCCTCTCAAGTCGTGCCCCGCTCCTACCAAAAAAGAGTGGTGAGGTGTTTGGGAATGGGTGCTGTTAGGTATTCCAGCAAAGGCTAGGCGTGCCCGCTAGAGTTCTAGCAAGAGGCAGCAGCAGCATCAGCTCCACTAGCGAAAGGCTGCAACATTCAGCCAGCCAGCTTATGCCGCTGATATGTGAAGCGCTGAGGCAAGAGGGACAGGGTCAGAACTCTGAAAAACTCGTCCCGTAAAATCGTAAAATCTTCCCCTATTATCTTCCCGTACAACCATCCAGTGAAACCGTCGCGGACAACCGTCCCGTAACTTTTGCGGAAATCGTCCCGTAAAACCTTCCCATAAAACTGTCCCTCAATTCCGTTCCGTACCTTTTGCGGCAGCTTCGTCGTTTCCGAGGTAGGGCCCCCTCGACCCATCCGCGAGCTTGAACAGAATCCCTCGCCACACGAACTTCATCCCTCCTGCTGACCCCCCGAGGTTCTCGTTGGGCCTGTTGCGACCATCACCAGCGCGAAAGAAAAATGCCGCCAGGCTTCGATGAGACAAGACAACCCAGGGTCACCGCTGAGATTCCCCAACCCGATTGATTAGTTGTTTTTTGGTTGTGATGGATGCAATTATGGATACACATCCACCGCTCTGTCTAAATACTGTAGTGCGCGCGAAGCCCTCGAAGAGCAAGATGTGCATGGTACGAGATCATTCGCAATGTGGTCTCGCTGCGACAGTAGCTCGCTTCAGCGGCCCCAAATGCCCAGGCAAAAAAACATGGCATGGAAGCTGCCTCTCTGGGCACGAATTGATACCGGTTTCGTGCACCAGGATGAGCAGTGAGGGTACCGTGACGTACGGAGGTTGCGCAGCAACGGGGCCCCGCCGGGGGGAAATTCGGGGGGGGGGGGTGCGGGCAGCACCCGGTGATGCCGACCCCCGAATCGAGAAAAAAGAGGAAGGATAGGCGTCCCAAGGTGCTGGGCATACCACATACTCTTGCTTGGCAGTGGCGCCTACATCGCGTACACCAGCAATCGGTGGGGAAATAAATTTTGAACGCTCCATTACTCCACGACGAAGAGGGTGCATTAATCAAGGGATACGTTTTCGGGGAAGCTCTCGACGAGACCGTTCCAACTACGCCATTTTCGGCGCCGCCAATCTTCGGCTGTGGAGTAATCGGGCTTTGGAAATCAGTGCAGGGGGTGTGGTGCCTTACGTCACCTACGGTAACCATTCGACTCGCCGAATACCTCCGCGCTTGGTGATGTGCTACTACTGTAGCCTGGTCCTGTGAAAACCCGGCGTGCTCCGTCCTGGCTTTGTAGGCATGCGAGGTCAATGGTCTAACGACTACGGCATGCAAAGCTATGACTACCCCCCCCGTCTCCGTCGTCTCGAGGACGCGTGGTCTGACAGGTAATGCATGAAAAACGGGTATACCACCCTCCCCTTCCACCCATGTGTCCATGGGTCAACCGCTAAGGCATGCAAAACATGGGTGTACCCCTCCCCCCCCTCCCCCGTTTTCCTCACTTGATGCTCTTGTGCTTCAAGTCCAGGAAGTACTCCGAGATGATTGTTTTCCCGTAGGTAACCGCCGCCGCCTTGAAGTCCCGGTTAACCGTGGTCATGCGCTCCCACTTCCTGTAGCACTGGTCGGGAGTATCTTCCGGGAGATCGAGCGCCGATTGGAAGAGCTCGTTCCAATTCCCCGTTTCCTAAGGCGTGCAAACAACAAAAAAATGAGGAACAAAAACAATGGAACGTTGGCATCGACAGCAAATATTATTGTTCAACAAATTTGGTAGCTTTGCCTTCAATTCAACTGTAATATAAAATTGGTTTTAGGCAGGAACTGTTTCTAGGATTTTGGGGAGCCGGTGTTGTTTTCGGCGTGGCGTGGTGGGATGACTCTCAAGTGGAACGGGGCGCAGCCGGACTTGAAAATTAGCTAGGCAGGGGCAAGAGAAGGCCAGACAAGGTATGGGGCACGTCTTCCTATGTAAGTACAGCAGTAGGTCCCTGTATACAGCCAGCTGGTGCCAAGCTAGCGATTTGGCGGCCTTACACCAGGCATCCGGCACGCATCAGAGAACTAGGCAATATGAATATCCCACCTGTGTGTCACGCGAACATATAGGGCGACCGGCCTTTTTATGCGGCCTCACTACTGGATGACTTTAGGGTTGACTGGATCCTTGCAGAACGACAATTATTTCAATGTTAGCTTGGCTGCTTGGCTGCTGTTCCTCACAGTGCGGTTCGCGGGGACCCCCGCTAGACGGTAGGTCTTGTGTCAGGATACACGCGTGCGCGAGGAAACAGTCTGCCCCCGTCCGATTGTACCGTATGGGAGTCGCGGAAGGGGGGGGTGGTCTCAGCCAAAAATGAGGGAGGATGTTGACAGCAGCTGCAGGGTCCTAACGCGTAGCTGGAGGGGTTGGTCGAGAGACAACAACATGCTGTGACAAAGCCAAAGAGGGTTAGGTACCCTTGGCTACATATCTTGTTCTATTGCCTCTCTCAACCAAGTATCCGACGACACAGGAGGGTACAGGATCTAGGGAAACAATGATCAATCCAGCAACATCGACACCCGCTTCCCACACACCCTACTGCCACGCCGCCACCATCCCTCATTGCCACCACCGACCACAAAACAAAACCAACAGCAAGCTGTTCTTGTCGCCCACGAAAGGTCGGGGTGGGGGGCGGTGGGTGGCACAACAACTTGCTGCGCTGACGTGTCATCCCCCAACCCCGAACCTTCAAGGGAGCTCCAACAAACACCTACAAACGGCAGAAGAGCACACCGGGCAAGCGAAGAAACACGCGCGACTCTCTTTCCAAGGACCGACTTCCAATCTAACTACTTTGTCCGTTGCTGAAGACAAGGAACGGGCAACAACAAGGCCGGGAGCCCGAGATAATATTACAGGAGCAGGCTCACCCATCAACAACCCTAAGCGCCATGAGGTGTTCGGCGAGCTGCATCGACGGTGCGCTGCATCCTTCACAAAAAAACTGTCACCGGGTGCCTTGTCTTAGAGGTGTGTGTGTGTTAGCCTGTGTGGCAAACGCGGCAAACGCGCCACGACCTCGTAATTTAGCTGACAAGAACGGAGCGCCAACCAACCGCAGGAAACAAGGTCGGGATAAGAGACGCATCAACAATAACCTCCACAAGCCGAGGCAAAGAAAGAACCCAAGATGGACTTTCCAAACAACCAAAGTTTTTTTATTGATGTTTCTTGACAAGAACATTCCAAAAAGCCAGGGCATTTCTTCTTACAACATGACACGATAAACCCATCTCTACCGTAGATTAGGGTATGTCTTACCTGGCAAAGAAAAAAAACAAAGTGAACATTCCAAACAACCAAAGCATGGTATTTTCGTAACCCAACACGGTGAATCCATCTCTACAGTATCCACAGAGATACGTAAAGGGTTAGCGTGGTATTTCTTACCCGGTACGGCTGCTCCATAGCGTCGGGGAACAACAGGTCCCGGATCGGTCCCCAGCTCCTGCCCGGGACTTCTCGAGCACCACAACCACCGTCACCTTCCCCTCCACCACCCCCGCGACGACCATCTATCTGAGAAAAACCCATGCTGCCAACGCCACGGCTTGACCCACCACCACCCCTAGCGCTACCCCTCCCGCGGCCGACAAGTACATGTGTACCCCCCTCCGTCCACGTCCAGGTCCCCACCGCGGGGTCCCCAGCGCCCCGGGAAACATCGTTGCGCAAGCTATCCCGGCGTTGCTCCTGAGGGAGGATACCGCGTGAAGCAAGGGAAGGAACGCGTACTGTCATGTTTTGCATGCCTTAGCGGTTAGACCATTGACCACGCGTCCTCGAGGGGACGGAGTATTGGTCCCCACAAGACCGATCACCGCTGGCCAATCGTTCCTCCCTACTTTGCCACAGTGAAGCGCGGGAAGGGGTGCTGGTGGCACCTCATCACAGGCATGTTATGTTTTGGTCGCAATGTGTACGAGCCTCAATGTGTTATCGCTCTCTTTCGTGTTATCGCGGTACACAAGTACGAAAGATTGCTGTTGTTGTCATGTCGTCTTTGTCAGCCTGATTTTATTCTTGGTTCTCAGCGTAGGCGTTCGGACGGCTACCAAACAGACCGTGGGCCTACACTGACTCTTCAAGTGTCATGAAATCGTGCAAAATAAAACTTGTGTTGCTCTCGGTGCTCCCACAGGCAGCGGAGGCGTTTCGGTGTGTTTCTGGAAAACCAGTTCGTGGCTAACAAAACACGGAGGATAGTTGCTCGTTCTGCTAAATACTACTGTGAGACTGATAACGTAAACTGTTGTTTATGGTTCGTTGAGGTTCTTGCGGCTATCCGATTGGAGAATTAACGTAAAGAACAGGCGCACAAAAGAACATTGTTTTTTTGTTTGGCAAGTGCGGCCGTGCGGTAGATAGATTCCTCGCACACCAGCGGGATGTGATGCTCTGAGCTTAAACTTCACCAAGATATAATGCGAGAGGAAGAGAGATCGGTTGCTGTTGTTGTCGTTGTGAGCTGCTAAAAGCAGGGCTTTGTTTAAATCGACCTTCCTACACCTCTACCGAGAAGCTGCAACCAAACTCGAGAAAAAACGATGGCCGACCTTAAGGAAGCAACGTTTACCTACGAACCTCAAAAAGACCGAAACACAAGAACAACTGGTCCAACAAAACCGTACATTAAAACCTATGTTGTCCAAGTTACCTCCAAGAGAAGGCAAGAACCGAGCCTCGGGCTAAAACAAGAGGTTATCAAATTCCGAGACATGGATGAGAGGAGGGTACAGTCCGTCACATTGTTTATCGGTCAGAGCTTCGCATGCGAATAGGACACCCCATGCCCAAACTAGTTTTGTGACTCTCACCGTCCACAAAGGGTGCGGATGGCTATACCCTCAATGGAGGACATGCGTATGTACCTACAAGACGCTGTGCATTAGGTTTAACCTCGGTTCAGTAAGGGGCAGGAAGCACCTATTGCAGGACAACTGAAGGGCGAAACGCGCTGACCATCAGGAGCATGGGCTTCTTCGGGAACACTACTATTAAAGGTACAGTAGATGTAAGGTACCACACCCCCTACACTGATTTTCAAAGACCGACATCTCCACAGCCGAAGATCGGTGGCGCCGAACATGGCGTAGTTGGAACAGCCTTGTCGAGAGCTTCCCCGAAAGCGTATCGCTTGATTAATGCACCCTCTTCGTCGTGGAGTAATCGGGCGTTCAAATCGATGCACGGGGTATGATATCTGACGTCATGTACGGTATCTGACATGCCAGGATAGCGGTGATGGAGTGCAATCACGCGGGCGGAGCCTGCGAACACATGCGAAGCATTTTTATTCGCCAAAACCAGGACCGCACGCCTTGCGACGTTGTCGTCCTTAATCTACCGACGTGACATCTCCGATATCCCTCTATGTACTACAGCCGCTGAGCACGTTGTGCGTACTTGGTGCTGATTGATACGTGGGACGATCGTTTCACAAAAAACCTTGGACGTCAGGAAGAACAACACCTGATATCTGCACCGCTCCAAACGTTGAGATATTTGAAGTGCGTGTGTGAGTGAGTAGCCGCCGTGTGACACATACTGCACACGTCGTCCGCACGATGAAAGTTAAGTATCCTCGTTCTTCTTCGATGGACACCCTACACCGGGCACTTTCTGCGCGGTAAACCTGTACGGCTGTTTCTTTGCTGCCGGCGACGACACCTCGTCTGCTCTGGTATTTTGTTTCCTTGTGCAACCGTTTGGCCCATTCGATTGATGATGACGCCGGTGTTTCATACATTCAAAAATAACTCTTGTATTTCAAAGGACAGACTTAAGTCAAGAAACCTCGCGCACAGATACAGAGACGCCACAGCACCACAGCGTTACTTGAGGTGGTCCAGAGGGACGATGGGCGTGGAGATCGAAACACTGCTGTAGTTCGACATGGTATGCTGTGTGTCACACGCTCCTCACTGTTTCTGAGCTGTGGGCTTGTGCTGCCGCGTGCTCGTTACGTATCGACATGTTAAACAGACCAGAGTGGACTGCTGGTCCCATCCTGATGTGGATGTGCGATACGGACCGGTTGCAGCTCCCCCGCTGCTGCAAACGTTGAGTGTCGGCTTGGATTGGGTGCCCCGCCCGAATGCGGCGTAATTGCCGAAAAAACTCTAAAATAGACAAGACGCGAAAGTGGCGCCAAGTTAGAAAGAGGCCGCCTTGCTGATTGGCGGACGCCAAGTTAAATCTGTCCCTCCGTTTTCCTGCCGTATCGTACAAATACACGCCACGCGTGATCTCTCCGTGATATTCGGACTGTTACACTCAGTAGCCTCTGCTGTGGTGGTACAAGATTCCGCGGGACCCCTCGGTGACAAGTTTACATATTTGGATTCCATGCCGTGAGCGCTAGCGTGGTGGGTGATGCTTGCCCACGTGAACCCGCGAGGGAAAATGAAAATTGCGCAGACAACATTGGGCGCGGACAAAAGAAGCGGGGTGGTCGTAGCAGCGCAATTTTCGGCGTAAGTGCCTACATTTATATATATACTAATGGCAGAAATAAGCCACCTTTTCGCTTTCGGCTGTTATATTTCGAACGGGTAGTCTTTCTGTGAGATTATGTGTACTTTCTAAAGACCACCTACAGAACTGTAGAGCAGTTGCTCTCTGCTGCAGGGCGCTAACGAGAAAAACCCCATGGAATAAAAGCATCCAGCGCCAGCATCGGCCATATTTTGATCCGGCCCTGTCTTGCTGCAGAGTAGGGTAACATGGACATATTTGCTTCGTACATCGCCCCTATCGTTTGCGTGCCATGTGCAGAATAGTGCAGCAAGGATACATGGAGCTGGAAATGTCACACGCAACAAACAGTAGTCTCACCGGATCTGCCCCATCTTCCTCCACCGCTACAAGCCCTGCTGCTGACCCGCTGACTATCGTCCGGCTGTTGTCCTTGCTTTGCAAGGAAATGTGACCTGTATCTCCAAGAGCATCGGTTCCGGGTGAGGCTACAACTCCAGGGGAACAGATGCATGGTGCAAGGGGAAAAGTGCCACGCCTGAGTCATGCCTGCGCCTCTACGATGTACAACGGTTCGAAGGTGTGAGATTGTTATCGATCCGATATTGTAGTTTTTTTTTAAACTATGGTCTAAAAAGTCACGCCATTGCCAGCCTCCTGTGGCCTCGCTTCCGGTGCGTAGTCGATACGTTCCGAGGACGTGGTGATGATAAGGGCAACTCTTAGAGGTGCACTGCATGACACGTCCTGAGATGCAAGTACGACCCATCGTGAAGCTGGTGTGGCAGGGATTAGGACAAGCCGTGACAATACCCCAACACATCAAACGAGGAGCGACCGATGCGCTGCTTTCATGTTTGGGGGAGTTGGTTGCCGCTTAGCCAAAGCTGTTCCAACTTGCCGAGAACTCCGAGTTCTCCCGGGATGGACGCTGCACAAATCAAAAGAGCCAAGTGGTGAACTCGTTAGCCTGCCGATGGTCGGCGCGGCGTAGTGAAACATGTGTGTGACGAGGCCGGCTGGTTTCAAAATCGGTTCGACCTACCGCGTGGGCGAGACACGAAAGGAACCAATATTCCCACGCCATCCTCCCTCACCAGTGAGCTTGTTGTCGTGCATGCTACCCTGCCTCAGCCCGGTGAGCGCCCCACGCGCCGCGGGGATGGGCCCTGCACGAGGCAAAAGCACAATGAGTCACATGTAACGCAAGACATCATGCGTCGCCCACGCCCTATGTGTACGGAGATGCTTCACAACCTAGCCAAACTGTTTACCAGGGAACACCAGCTATAAGTCAACGGGTTTTGCTTCCCTCAGAATTCAGGTTGGTTTGGATCGCGACGAGCACGATCAGCACATCGCACTGACACTTAGGTCAAGCATCCCGATCTCTCAAACGCCCCCCGTGATAAAACCCGCCGATCGTCTCGCTGTTCGACTGCCGGATATTTTGCAGGCACCAATGTCTCCCTACCCAGGCGAGACGTGACCTATCTCTCCACGGGAATCCGTTCCGGATGTCGGAGACAACTCCGGGGACGACGATGCAGGGAGCAAGACGAAAAACTCCCGCTCGGGGTATGTCTTCGGGTGCTTTATCTAGACACAACGACTCGAAGATGCGGGGTCGGTATCGTCCAACGCAATGGTTGGAAACCCATGGCACAAGCGGATGTCAATCCGTTAGGAACTTCCTGTGGCCTCGAGTTCCAGTGCCTAGTCGAGAGGTTCCGATGATAAGCGAGAGCGCAGTAAAATAGCCCTCTCTTCGAGGTGTAAACCATGGAGCATCCTGAGTTGCGTCTACAATGCACCGTGAGGCTGTCGACGTCACACGACAACTTATGACGACATCTCAGGACACCAACAAGAAGACCACCGACGTGCTGTTGCCGCCATGAGTGAGCAAATCATGAAAAGCTACAGCAAAACCTCCACTAGGACGCCTATCAATGGCCACACTTGAATGACACCGTGCAAAACGCGTCCCAAATATCGGATAAAAGCTGCAAGCTGCTTGGAGCGTTGTCTTCGCGACAGCAAAAACGCAAGACAAAAACAATGAACATCAAAACATCATCGTCAATGTTGCGATTCTACTGCACACAACCCTCTCTATCATCGTGAGTGGCATTCTTCCCGCTTCGCAACGCGTTCCATTCTTCCTCACCGGTCAGCCTGTTGCCGTCGAGTTGAAGACTTTGCAGCTTTACGAGGCCTGCAAGCTCTCTGGGGATCGACCCTGCACAAGCGTACAGCAGACGGCGCGCTCGGTATGTTGCTGCTGGTGCACTGGGCACGGGGAAACGTGTGTGACGCCGCCGGCTTGTTCACCATCAGACCCACGCCATGATCTCTCACCGATGAACGTGTTGTCGTTCATCACACAAGACTCTTTCAGCTCGTGATATGAGTCTCACTTGTGATCAAAACTGCATGCGTTCTCCAAGACAGGAATGTCGCCAACGTTTCGTGAGTCCGGGGGATGATATACAAGCGCCCCAGACCCATTGGAACCCGAGCAAGACCGACTGGCGGTCACACGCTTTTTGCCGGTGAGGTCGCTTGCTTCGGGACTACCACGATCAACACATCGACCTGACACTCAGGCCAGCAGGTGAACAGCCTCAAGCTCTCCAACGTCTATATCCTGCCGATCGTCTCACTATCTGACGACCGATTGGTATTGTTGCGGGGCACCAAGGCCTCCCTACTCAGACGAAATGTGGCCTGTATCTCCAAGAGCATCGATTCCGGGTTTAGGGAACAACTCCAGGGATACAGATGCATGGTGCAACGGGAAAAGTTCCCCGCCCGAGTCATGCCTGCGGCTCTACGATGTACATCGACTCGAAGGTATGACATTGCTATCGTTATCGTTCCGATACTGCTGTAGCAATCGTTTGAAGTTGGGTAACCAGATGTCACGCCATTGCCAGCCCCTGTGGCCTCGCTTTCCGGTGCGCAGTCGATAGGTTCCGAGGAAGGGCGAAAGGGCGATGAAAAGAGCACCTCTTAGAGGTGCATTGGCCTTGCCCTAAAAACATATGTGCGGTTTTTGTCCCGGGTACGCGAGGACCGGGCATTCAGCGCAAACCTGTCCACTCTGTTCGTCTCTTACCGGTAAGGTGGTTTCCACTCATTGAAAGATGCGTCAGCTCGTTGAGAGTTCCCAACGCCTCAGGGATGGGTCCTGTACAGTCAACGAAAGAAAGCAAACACAAACGTAAAACATACGTACATGTCCTGGAAACACACGGTCGGACCATTTATTGTGCACCCAGCTGGCTTCTCGATGAAAAACGCTTGCTTTGTATCTACACAGGAGCTTGCAGGGTGCTACAATAGGGAGGATCGAGCGACAACGAAAGTCAAGCAGAAGGTAAGGGCAAACGTTTGTTGCCGTAGGCATTGTACTACCGTGGAGGTTGTTGTCGGGCAGAATGAGCTGCACCACGCGCCCCTCATCGTTGACTTCGACTCCTGCCCACGTAGCTAGCTCCGCATCCGTGTCCCAGTTGCTATTAGTCTTCCAATTTGCTCCATCAGTCGAACGAAAAAGCGCAATCAGTGCGGCACGATCCATCGTGGACATTGATTCCTCCGAGAGGTTGCTTCAGGCTGCACAACGAGAAAAAACGTGAGTACACGCAACAGAGGGGAGGGACTTCTGAAACCCTTGTCGCGTTGAAAACTGAAGGCAAGAGACACCACAGCAGGAGAGACACATCATGCTGATGTCCTGTCGACAGACATATGCCGAAAGGTAGGTGCAGATTGGCGCCCAGAATGGATGGGACGAAACAAACCAACAGGGAAAACGCGGGGTACGATTCCCTAACCATTTCGGTGGATTCGCCTCAGAATGGATGGCGACACGGCTGGTGACGTGACATGCACGGTCAGATTCGTCGGGCAAAACCACTTCAGTCCGGGACCAGAGCATCGAATTCTCTGGATTTGGTGCAAATGAGTGCGTCACTCAACATGTGGTTTCCGCCGGTTTCGCCACCATGCGCAACGAATCGATTTCAGCATCCTTCCAAAATGGACTCGCCATCACAACGTATTCACGTACGGGTGTGTATTTGAGCAAAAAACATGTACACCAGGTAACACAGCTCAGAGGTAACCAGGTACGTAATCTGTGGTCTGTGCATCACACGGGCTGCTTGTTGGTAATAGCCCGGCTGGTACGCAGTTACAGTACTTTCTCATTTTTGCTATCCAATTTATTCGGGACGTCGGAAATATTACGCCTCATCAGCCGGGTCACACAGGAGGAAGGCCACTCCGCCTTCTGTGCTTGCCTCGCTAAACCTTCGTGGCGAAAAGGTTCAGCTGCCGTTCATTTCCCTCGTCGATCGTAAACTCGAATTTTTTGCGTACACACGAAAGTTTATCGCTCTCCGCAACTCTCCATAGGTGCGATAAATAATTCGATTCAGAAGTAAAATGAAGAGAAGGTTGCCATTTGCTGTTGTACGCGACCGAGAAAAATATAAAAATATACCGATACGTTGACCTGCGACCACGAAAGAAAGCCGCCCGGTTCAGACCGGTACCGATGTGCCAATACTAGAAGGCTAGGCTACTGAGTAGAGGCCGGTGTTTTGTAAAATGCAAAGAGTCTTCCGTCTATAACTTCCCAACATAACATGCAGATAGATACACAAGATGGCTCCCAAACTGCGTTGTTGAGCCTGTTACCCACAGGGGAGATATCGCTGTGTGCTGTTCGGGAAATCGTAGACTTCTTTCTGAAGATAGAGATGGATTTATTGTGTCATAATAACAAAAAAGAAAAAAAAAGACAACACCTGATCAACAACATCAACAACGCGATTATTTGCGCAGAGATGTACATGGGAGCAAACACCTCCGCTCCGTACTTTTACTTCTACTCTTTCGGGCAAGCAATTTTTTTTGGGGGAAATTGAAAATTGTAATGCGTCTGTAGGGCCGCTGTTAACCGCAGAGGTTCACCAAAATTTGAGCAAGGCTAGGCCGTACAGCAGTGTCGCAAGGATTGGGCACATGCTGTTCAAGGAGCATAGGGAATGTCCGTTTGATTGGGCACATTCTGTTCAAGGAGCACAGGATACATATCCGTTTCTGATTTAAAACCTGAAACCTTTCAAACTTTCATGCAGCTTTTGTCGATTTCTTCAAGACTTTTAGACTACAGCAGTGTAGCGTGGTGACGCCGGCCGAATCAAAACACAGACAGAGAGTGCAACGAGCTTCCCTTGCACACCTCAGCTACGACCGCAAAAGCAGCTCGATATAGTGGCATGTAGGGGAAAGCGGAGAATGGTCTAGGCCACTCCCGGGGCAGTGCAACCATTCGATGGAGAATCTGCTGTGGGTGGAAAAGTGGCGCCGCACAACAGAAGAACATGTGTTGCCTCTGAAGCTCTGAATGTGTGCCTCGGCGCCAAACTCTGTAAAGGCAAACCGCGTCTCCACGGCAAGCTGGGCTCCTACGAGAAAAAATTGCCCTGCTTCTAGTTGGCGGCAAGGCACGCGTTGAGCGGGCGATGAGATGCTCACGCATTATGCTGTACTATCCTCCTGTTGCCTCCCACGTACCCGCAGGGACAGCACGGGGCCAACGCCCCCCCAATTGCGAGCACGCACATCTCAAATCGTTGCGGCAGGGTTGGAGAGGGGGACGGGCGCTTCTCGCTTCTCTCTGTACTGCGGGAAAATCATGCTCACCAGTGACAGATGAGATGCGCCAGAAGCAGGGGTGTGTGCCAGAAGTCAACAGCAGTAGGTACGAGACAGGTTGCCAAGGTTGCTCAATTGCGGAACGCGGAACGTTCCTGGAAGAAATGAGGAACTGGGACAAGAAGACAAGAACCTGCACAGAACCGCTGTGAAATGGTTCTGAAAACGGTTTCGGGTTTCGGGTTTCGGGTTTCGGGTTTCGGGGTTTCGGTTTCCCTCGTTCGGGTACGACATCACGACCAGACGACCAGTCACAACGTCACAACGCCTTGTTTTTCACAACGCCTTGTTTTTAGGGTCGCCCCCGCACCCCGCACTCTGAAGGTATCTTCGATTTAATGTTGCTTGGGGTTGTTCAATGGTCATGGTTTCGAATCCGGCGTGTGACGTTCTCGACATAGACTACTGCTGTACTGTAATAAGATGAATATTATAATAAGATGAATATTAATATTTCACCATTTGGAAAGAGGGTTCCAGCCTTTGCCATATGCTGTAGCTCTGTAGCTGTGCGTGGTGGAGACAGACATGCCCCGACCGTTCGCTGCTCGGAGTGCCACAACAAACGTATTTTTCTTAGCTCAAAAAAGTGCACCTGGTCTTTATCTTAGGTGTCTCGTGTCCGATTCTGGGTACAGTACTATTTTGCGCCGGGGGGAGTGGCGTTGTGTACGTTCTCCCTCGGTTGTTTCAGCATCAATCACAGTTACAGTTGTAGTCAAGACAGATTCAGTAGATTTTTTTGGGACGACCAGTACGGCCATGCATTGATGCTGTCTACCGTGCATACATAGATTGCCCTTCTGAGGTTGAAAATTCGTGGAAACGGCGCCGTCTGCCCCACGAAAATCAGTCTCACTTTTGTGTCACACGTTTCCTAAGGTATTGTCTTCCTCGGAGTGGATCATTTGATGAAAGCTTGGACTTGGTGAGGCCTCCAACCGCAGGCGGAGGTCCTCGCCTATGGAGTGGATACACTCTCCCGTCGGTGCTGAGCGCGCTCACAGCACCGGGGGCGCACATCCCGCAAATCATTGCAGCACCGAGTGAGTGCTGAGTGTGGGGTGGGTGGAATGGTCTCCAAAATTATCCTGTATGTCTCCCGCTCTCTCGAGGCTTCGGGAGCGAAAGAGACGAACGATCACTTTCGGCACATTCCTCCACGTAATAAATATCTGCCTGACGAAGTTTTATTATTTGTGCCACGTTTGAATCGTTCAGTAGGGCAACGACTTTATTTACTGCTGTCACACCACATCACTGACGACTTCTTTAGTACTTGCTTGTGTTTACTGGCGACTGAAACTCCAGTTCATGTTTGGGGAACTTCAGATCTATCTTCAGATTGAAAACTAAAAACATCAGCCTTCGACCGGAGCTTTGCAGTAGTTCACACTGCAACAACCAGACAAACGGACAAAAGTCAGTGGCAAACCAAGGACAAACTTCACACTTGCTTCCGATGTGACACCACGCAACAAAAACACGAGACCAAACAATAACAAGAAAACGTGCGCGCCGGGCGTATAGTCTATAAAAGCTTGTTTGTTTGGTGGGTTGCGACTAGACCTCGGAACTACTAAAAACCAAATATGCGACGGTACGAAATCCGAGCACCATGAGAGTGAGGTGGTCGACGCACCGAGGTATATCAAGTTTCAAGTTACACGCGTCATTACCCTCTACAAAGCATCCACACTATGTAGACTATAGTTGTCCCCGCGTACCCCGGCACCACCCTTGCCCAGTAGTTTTCAAAGGAGGAGACAACCATGCCATTCTTCGCGAGGTAAAACAGGTGAAGAGGATGGGGACAAAATGTGTCCCGATAACGTCGGCAGCCTTCGTTGTACATACCATGGTACGGTTAACGAAAATTTCTGACAGTCCCCCCGTACCCGGTATGTAGTGCCGGTAAAATTAAGAAAAAATAAATACACAACGGAGGGATTCTCCCCGATATTTTGTCGTTGCCCCGGAAGAAAACTACAGGGGATGTATTGTAAAATGTAAGTTACCTATTTATACAGATGTTTTTGTCCTTAGCACCAGCTGGCGTCACTGATGTAAATCATCAGTGTATTAAATACACACACAGAAAATCTTCTGTCATAGATTAAAGGTGCAGTCGAGGGACCTCTATAGTGCAGGTTGAATAGTGCTGCATGCAAGTGCCTGGTATAGTGCCGGTTAAATCTGCTGACACGGATTTGAGCTGGTACGAAAACCTTTTATTCCTCGATCCTGAATAGTGCAGGTAAAATCTCCGGACACCTGCATGATAGAGGGCCTGCTGTAGTTGTTGCCGTTCATTACGTGAGATACATACCTGTAGGTATATCTCGAATGGGTAGTCTTTCTGTGCATGTATTTATTTTTCCTTGAAACCTGCTGCGCTGCTGCTGGCACACGAAGTTAGTTCGGGCGAATGGAAGGTGGGTACAGCCGCAGCACAATAGGTACTATTTTGGGGGGGCATCTCTCGGTTTCCCTTCAGATCTATTGTATGCATGATATTGGTCCATGCGGTCGCGAGTCTCGAGAAATAAAACAAAAAAGTATTAGACTTATCTACGCATTATCACGAAGTGTGGTACCTAGATATATATGTAGAAACCTCGATGTATTTCTAATCCTAACGTGACAGGGTCCATCCGTGTTGTATGACCGCCCCCGCTCCATGCAAGGGATGTTTACCCGGTTGGTGATAAAGCTGATGATGGCGCCGGAGCTAGGTGCTTCGTAACAGGAAAATTCACAAACGAACCGCTCGCCAAACCACCACTACAAACTCCTGGTGCTCTCGAGTACATCATCCACCGCTACCAACGTGTACATGATGTTACACACATGCATACACGATACATCTCGTTGGCTGAACCAACCTTCTACAACATAGACGCAGTACGTCGGGAAAGAAGCAAACTTCATGAGCACAAAAGCATCTACTTGTGGTCTCGACCATGGTCCAGATTGCTTCTCGCCGTGAGACGTTGTCAAACACCACGACACTCCTGCCCATCAGAACGACGACTGCAAAACGTACATACCAGTAACATCCTCCGGAAGGATCAAGCAGCCTTGACTTATGTTTCATCCAACCTGACCGATCGCCCCGTACGGCAACGCACGACAGGTACTATTGTGGTCCACCTTCGCATTTTTTTTGCAGTCGACAGCCTTAGCTCCTTTTCTTCCAGAAAGCCCGCTTCGAGCACAACCTCAACCACACGTACTTTCGACACGTAAACCGGGGGACTCGGTACCCTGCCGTTTCGTGCGGTTTTAGTAGCTTCGCTCTGGCGGTATGAGCGGACACCGAGTTCTACGGAACCCCGCTTGTTGTCCAGTTCCCGCCATGCCTTCAACACTTCCTCGCGGGTTTGCCCCGTTATTTTCATACGTAAGAGCAGTGCAGAGAAGAGATACGAGAGAGAGCGGAACATATATATATCCCTAGCGTAACCGCTGACCCTACGGGTTCCTTCCACGGTCACAGACTCCCCCCTAAGACCGACCAACTTCTTCATCGGCCGCATTCTTTGCCATCTCGCCGGGAGGTGTCGTTGATGCTGGGGCTTTGGGCATTGGAGTGTTGGCGCCGCTGGCAGGGCTGCCCTTGGTAGCGGTGGCAGCCATAGGCTCTACTGCTCGAGACGGGGGGGGTCAGGCTGATGCTGCTTCCGATCTCGATCCTGCGAGGCCACTGCTGCTACCGCGGGCGTCGTTCGAGCGGGGTGATGATGATGATCGGCTGCCGTCTCCATCCGAGACAGGCGTCGCCGCTGCCTCCCCCGCCACGGCGAGGGTGGGCTGTATAAGGTCCTCGCACTCAGGGTGGAAGTGCAGGACGTCCTCGAGAATCAACGACCGCAGATTGTGCTTCGTCAGCTCCACCTGTCACAATATGACGTAATGACATGCTGAGGCACGGCACGATTTCATGACGTAGAAACGCATTGTTTGGCGTGAGGTGATAGTCACCTGCGGCAAACGGCAGGTAACCGAGGGCGCAAAACTGTCCATCAGCCACTCGAGCGAGATTCGTGCCCCTGTCGCACGAAGATGGGGAAGTACGAAAGCGCTCACCTTCGGAGAACGGCAGGAAGTCGAGGGCGCAAACTTAAACTTTTCATCAATGACACGAGCGAGATCGAATGTCACTAGCACGAAGGTGTGCTGCTGCAGGTCTCACACGCGCGACAAATTCGGGAAGTGGCTTGCGCCAAAAAGGCGGGCATCATCGCCATCCCAAACCCCAAAAGCGCAAAAATTGAAACGGTGTTGTCGTGCGTAGAATTTATCTCACCGCTTCGATGGGCTTTACGTCCACGGGGATCTCCGCTATCGGCTCCGAGGATACATCGTGCAGTTCCGCTAGATACGGGTGCTCCAGCGCCTCCTCCGCCGAGATGCGCTCGTTCGGGTCGAGGACGAGCATCCTCGACAACAGGTCCACCGCGTCCGAACTGGCGGTGGGGAACTCGACGCCCAGATTGGAAGGCGGGGAGTCCGGTAGTGCCAGCATGCACCGCTTTGCCCTTGGGAGAAAGAAGATCGGACAACAGAGAGAGAGAGAGAGAGAGAGAGGGTGAGCAATGAGCAGCGCTTGGTAGTGCTGGTGTGTGCCAGCCAATGTGCGAACAAAAACCACACAAACACGGGCGACACGCGCAAGCAGACCTCGGCTGGGCTGCGTCCGGACAAGCGAGGGTCTGTGTTCGCACATAACGAGAAAATGACGGAAAGTCGCCTACGGTGTGATATATTCGCACAGTAGTGGTCATGATGTGTGCACAAGGAAAGCCGATGTTGTACGCACAAGGGCAGAACGACTACTTGAACAGAGAGCTACTGCTGCAAGCCGGCTAACAGCTACGCGTCAATTTTGCACCGCGTTTACTTTGATGCCATACAATACTTGGCCACGCCACGCGGCAGGGGAGCATGGTCGTTGCACAAGATTCGGAGACCCCAACAAAACACGGCACGAGCAAGTTTTCCAGGAACCGGTCGACACGCCACCAAAAAATCTGTGCGATGCTGGCTAGCGCTGCTCACATCGGACTTGGAAATAAAAGAGGCATGCGGTCATTGTACTCTGTGCCGTAACTGAGACCGGCCACCGATCGTGTGTGGTGCGACGTGGGTGGTGGCAAGGAATTACCATCTCGTGCTACCTTATTTTTACCTTGGGTTGGTGACGAACCAAAGGTCGGGCTCGGTAGGCTTTCCGATGAGCGCAGAGATTCCCGTGAGCACGCCGATGTGGTCGAGGCCTACAAACAGGGGTCTACGCCGCAGCATCTCAGCGAAGATACACCCCACGCTCCAAAGGTCGACGGACTCGTCGTAGATTTGTGCGGCGAGCAATATCTCCGGTGCACAGTACCACTGGGTCATGATCTCTGAAAGACTAATATATTTCGAGAAACAAAGCAAAGCAAACACACCGCAGAGCGTAGCAAGGAAGTGACGTCAAAGGAGACTCCAACAGGCGAAATTACCGCGGGGTAGAAACATGCATACAACTTGATGAGGAACGAAGCAAAGAACAGACGAGATCCATCCACCGAGTTCACGAAACGTGGGTTGGTGAGGTCGAAAAACTCGAAGAAATCCCGGCAACACCAGCGGGAAAAGTCATGCACTATACTATTGTGCGAGTCTAAAAACAGGCGGAAAGGCGAGGACAGGGGGGACCGCAGCTGCGGAAGGCGGAGGGAACATAGCCAACGAAGCAGCACAAGTGCAAGAAAGATGCAACACCCGGGGAACTCATCATGCCGTCACACTTTTCAAGGAAAAATTGACAGGTCACTCACAACGGCAGATCGGCCGTGTTGTGCTCGCTTTGCGCTCCCCTCGACAACTCGAAGTCGGAAATTTTTAAGTCGCAGTTCTGCGTGCAGGTGGTGAAGAGCGACGAGCGGTTGGGAGATATAAAGGAAGGTGGGATTTGGGGTTGGGGAGTCAGAAGCAGGTCCTGCTTGTGTGCGAACAGGGACCACCGTTGCAAGTTCAACGTTGTAGCGCATCAGCTAATGCACGGGCTATTACCCTTTGCTTCAGCGTGTGTGGACATGGAGTGCCGGAGAAGTAAGCGCATGAACCGGACCGTGCTCGATACGGGCCCAAAGGTTGAATCGTATTTGTAGGTGTCGGAGTAACGCTTGGGCGGCCTTCTGGCAGGGGCGGCCCTTTTTAAGGAGAAAGAGACAAGTTTCACTAAGTACGACCGTTGCGGCCAACAAAAAATAAATGACAACTGAAGGGAAACTGGAAGTACACGTTTGACCACGGTTCGAGAAGCTAGGCTCTTCTAGTGGAGAGTGGTGCACACAGGCCACCGCCGCACACACCGCGTTGAGCATCACCCTCGAAGGCCTGAGGCCCTGGTGGATCAAGGAGGCCGAGTGGATGTACTTGACGGCGCACAGGATCTGGTAGAGGAAGTACTGCGTATGCTCGTTCGTGAGGTGCTGTCTGGAATAAATCACACGATGCAGGTCGGTTTCCATCAGCTCGGACACAATGTACACGTCCTGTCATTGGAGAAACGACAAGAAAGCCAGAACGCAAGAAGGAGTCAGAGCCCTGAAGAGGGCGAAATATCAACACAGCATCGCGGCGGTCCCTTCTTCTGCAACGGACCTGTAGGCAACGGGCACCATGAGAGGGGCGATGTGTCCCCCCTCGCTTGACGTCAAGGCTACCCCTTCCGCCACCAAAAGCAACAAAGCGGTGATTTAACTTGGCAGCAGCGTGGCGAGGAAGTCCATAGAGAAATAGTTCACCTTGCTTGGCACTCACAAGTGAACATGGTCACTTTTCCTCTGCTGTGTCAATGATTTGACATGGACCCTTGCGGAGCACGGCTTAACTTCGCTGCGATACCAAGCGTAATAATGGGGCGTTGCATACGAACAGACGATATTAGCCCTGCTGTACCAGCAGCAACCATGAGCAATCCTCCGATCGCAACGGTCCGTCCGTTGGTATGCTCAATCGTTTCGTTAATGACACCGCTGAACCCACATCGAAGTCTTCCACCGAGGGCGGAGGCAGGACGTCGACCACCTTGAGGATGTTCTCGTGGTCCAAGTTCCGCATGATGCAGATATCCCTAGCGATGCCCTTGGCTTCAGTGAGATCCTCGAACGCTCCGCGATGCTTACTTATCAGCACCTGCACAAGCACGACATGAATTGAAACGACAATCATTGTTGAACACGCAGTTGCAAGGCTACCCAGCTTTACATCCCCCATAACATTCGCACGTACCTACCGATTACCGGAATCGCGGGGTACGACTGACGGCAGTAGGAAAAAAGCTTCTCACGGCGTTTGACGTCAAGCCTCAATATATGTACGGCAACGAGCCTTGGCCGAGTTCTGCTGCCTATGTCGCAACGGATAAGTCGCAACGGATAATATACTACTACTAATCCGGAGTATGAAATTCGACGTGTCCTCCCCATAGATCCATAAACCACGACTGCTATGGGGTACTCTACTGTATACGCACCTGGTTGTTCGACTGGCGGTCCAACGCACGGACCCCTCGGCCTCCGTACGGCTTAATTATGTCATACCTAACGTCTAGCTCGAAGGTACTACCGCCTGATACAACACTTCTGTGCAGCAGGTTTTCGCGGTGGATGTCGAATCGCGCAGCACCGAAGGAAGAAGATGGGAAATGAACGGGCGTGAAGCGATCATCGACGGAGCGAGGAAGCGCACAAGACGCACGGGACAAAAAACAATTTGAAGTCGGAAGGCAGGGCAACGAAAAAGCAAGAAAATCGCCCGTCAAACATCAAACAGGGAGGGAGGGGAGCAGGGACACAGAGAGACAGACAGACAGAGAAACAGAGAGAGAGAGGGAGCAAGGCAGAGAGACTGGGACACAATCAGCCATGTCGCCCGCACAAACCTGCTGACCAATAACAAGACGCCAGCATCACCCGGTGGGAAACAAGTCTTGATGACCTGGAACGTATTGCGGTTCGATAGGGGCCAACATGCTGAATGTGCTTTCGAGAAATACCCCTACACTAGACACAATCTTTTTTCGGTCCCCCGACAAGTAAGCGAACGACACACTACCGGGACACTCGCACTCGTGGTCCAAAAGAAATATCCCAGACCGTGAGACGTCCGAGGTCAGGAGTCGAAGCCACGGTGGCGACACTGTGTGCAGAAGCGGCTGTCCTTGTGTGTACGACACTTGACGCAGAATTGTCGACCAGGGAAATTATCGCTATGAAGGGGCTACAACTGAGAGGATATTCGCACCTGCCTTCGGCGACGCAAGAATTGAAACCCCGCCGTTTTTTGTTTCGGGGGGTACACCCATGATCTCTGTGTATGGCATATGGTTGTGCGCACAAGGAACACAGCGTGCCGTCCATCACTCACCAGGGTAGGACACTTCACTATGAACCTCCCGCCAACCAGTTGTTGACTGTCGTGTCTGTGGCCCTCTAGCTCACACCTGGTGTTCTGGCGTCTTCGACGTGGCGGGCCCCCTTCCTTCATCCGTTGGTTGATCCGCTTGTTCACGGCCGTGAACCAACGATCACGCTCCTCCTTGGTATCGGCGAACACCTTGAGCACGGTCGCGTTGGAAGCGACTACTTGGAAAGCGTTGGCCGGCGTGGTCAGATGGATGACCGTAGACTTGCCGTCGAGGGCCAGGCGGCCCTCCGGAATCAAGTTTCCCCGTGCCGAGGAGTAGTACGTTATCACGTCGTCGTCGAGAACAAACCAATATCGTTTCCACTGGACGCCGGCCTTCTTGGTCAAGTATCCCTCCGCAGTTGACGGCTCGTGGGCAGATGCCTCCATCGTCAGAGGGATGGGCCGCACCCACCACGGACGTGGAGCACCCAGCGTCTTCCTCGGTTTGGAGCATGGGGGGGTGGAACAACGAAGACACAAAGAAAGCTGTCTGGGATTAAGCGTGTTGACGCGGGATGCTCGGGCAAAGCGTGTGATATTCTATACGTGTATGTACAGCGCGAAGCAAACCGCCTGGACTGGGTTTCATGGCGGGGTCAGCTTTCACCATGGTCGGATTCTCAGGTCGTTAGTCGCTGGAAATCCTACAGAGTTGCGACTTTAGTGCTTGTTTCGGCGCCATCCAGGGCAGGTGCAAAGGGTGTCCGTAGCGATTGAAAAAATCCGGCCCCACAAAACTGATGTGTCTGCATACACAGTGGTATTCCAAGAGACTAAAGGCAAGGATCCATACAAAAAACAGAGAGACCTCTCATTGGTGCTCGCCGTTTCTCCAATATCTCTCTTCTTGCCCTCACCCGAAACAAATTATGCGCGTGCCCTACCCACCACTATGCACAATTGATGCGATGACTTTATATTTCATTAGTATGTGTTCGTTCTGATGTTTTCTTGATATAGGGATTTGAGCACAAGGATCTGAATCGTTCTCGGAAAGATGAATAAATGGCGGGGGTCGCAACTCCCCATCATAGGATAGACCTGTGATCCCGGGGGTGCTGCCACTACGACCCCTCCTTGCAAGGAGGTCCCGCCCCATTTCGTTCGGTTTACCAAAGAGAGCAAGGAAACAGCAAGTACTGCTGTTCAAGAGGTTAGTCTAATCAACAAGTGAGTCCTCATCAAGGGTCTCAGGGATTGCTACGCGTGTAAAACCTGGCAAAACGTACAGCAGTACCTCCTGCCGGTTTTCAGATAGGAATTCTTGTTCTTCCTGAATAGAAACTGCCAACACTCCTACTCAGATACGGACTGCCTGGCATCTATTTCCTCATTGATAACACTAACTTCCAAGCCGGCTAGCTCTTTTACCACGTGATATCTTTTGAAAGAGGCGGGTCTACCGCTGTATGAACTCTCTGGTCATGGGGCGCGTTCCGCGGAACGGTGCAGAAAAACGGCGCAGGTTCAACATTCAACAAGGGCGCAAGTCATATATATCTAGAAAAACAAAATGTGTACGCCTGGAACAAAGAGAGGGACCTTCAGTTCTCCTATTGCATCAATGTCAGATGTTCACTCCCAATCTTGGGGAGGGGAACGCGGCAGAGGGGGCCGATGTACCCGCCGGCCAAAACATTTTCACCCGAACATCTTTCTCCGCACACAAGGGCATGATGAGATCATGAGATCGGATTCTAGCCAAAAGCGGGCTTGAGAGACCTCTCATTGGTGCTCGTCTTTTCCAATATATCTCACCAGTGCACCACGGAGCAAGTTCCCCCTCCTTGCTTGGTGTCTACTCCCGCCGTCTACTACCTGTAGAACGTGCCCCACCTCATAAAGAACGCGGGGCTACATGTTCGGGGTCCCCTTAATTAACGAATCCTTCGTGAACCATGCTGCATTTGAAAACCTTTTGCGGGGCACGCTCCGTTTGCTTTCGATCATCGCGTCGCCCCCACCGCTGGTTTAGCGCTGATCAGACAGACCAGACAGAGACACAGCAGACAGCACACCTGCTGCGTGAGAGGTGCTGGGGAAGCAGAGAGTCAAGATGGTCTTGCTGGATTCGGCAGATTCCTTCTTCGTCGAGTTGGAGCAGATGTTCGCGCTGTGCAAACAGCGAGGAGCAGGAACAGTCTACACCACACTGAAGAAAGTAGAGGCTGGGAACAAACAGCAGCTCAAGAAGGGAAATACGGAGACAGGGGCAGGGCGAAAGGCGGCGGGTCCCGGAGGAAGGAGAGAAGGATGGCTTGCTCGCGCCAAGATATCGAACCAAAAAGCCCGCAAAATATCCGTACTGGTAAGGAAACGCTTTGAGGATACATGTTTTTAGCAGCTTTGCTGATAACTGCTGCTGCTGGTGTACTGTTTTGCGAGCGAGAGGCACACCTGGCAAAGAGAGCCAGCTTGTTTGTGTGCCCTGCGGTGAAAGGTTGCTTACAAGACCCACCACTTGGTGCGTACTCGGTGCACACCTTTGGGGTGCTCAGCTTGAAGCAGACTTTTGGAAAAACTGCCTTGTTTAGAATGGTGTCATGTCTACACACACCCTTTCGAGAGAGCCCTGCGAGGAACGGGTGCCCGATATGGCGGTGCAACGGAGAACGCCTACCGTAAGAGGCGGAGATGGCACCCCCCTAGAGCGATTTTCAAAGCTCGATTTCTCCACAACCAAGCTTGTGCCAACACCAATAATGGTGGTGGAAACATCTCGTCGAACATCTCGTCGACGGCTGTCCCTAGACGTATCGGGCTCTTTGCGCACCCACTTGGCTACGGAGCAATCGAGCTGTGAAAGTCGGTCTGCACTGCTGTAGGGGGGGTGCCATCTCTCCTCATTTCATGGTAGTTGGGTAGTTGATGGTTTTCAACATCGCCCCTCCGGTTGGTTGCTACCCCGAGCTTTGAGTACTGTTGTCGCAGAACGATTGACGTACATCCAAACATTCGGCACGTGATTGCAGACCAACGAGCTCTATTCGTACAGCGCCATATACCCCCCGAGCCTGGGAGTACTTCGGTATGGTTGGTTGCATCCACGGGGCTATGAATAGACCAACCGAAGCTGCTGACTTCACGCGACCCCGATATACTACACAACAACAGCGAGTAGTATGGAAGGTGCATGTGGACCGTCTTGATAGGGATGTTTGGGTCGACTCGCTTTTGTAACGGCGACTTGACCCCTTCGCCAAGCAATCGGTCTATCGCTGAGGCTGCGACAGCAAGGTGCTAGTAGAATTCCGGTAGTACATCGTACGCCCGCTTTAGAAGCCGAGATCAAACCTTAGACTAAACCGTCTAATTGTTTAGTCTAGTGGTTTGATTTCGGCTTCTATACCGCTCGTAAGAAATACGGAGTATGTTTGTAGTAACCGAGGCTCAGATTTTGGACAAACTCAAGAAATTGAGCTTAGCGGCCGGCGCGCATTATATCCTACGTAGAAGCCGTTGGTCAGCGGTGACAAAATTTTGAGTCTCGCCAAGGTCTCGCTCAAAATAGGTCTGCACTGCTGTGTGGAGTCTCCACTGGCTACTCTGTTGCGATCAGTGCTGTCCTTGGCTGTTCAGACGCTCCCAGTGCACACCGGGTGAAATGGAACCATTCGCCTCCTAGAACACATCCCCCAAGTGCCACTTGAAAAGGAGGCGACGGACGGTGTCCGCTGCTTTCATGCTACATGATACGCCGAGCGCAAGTATCGCGGCTGCACACCTTGGAGGGCAAACGGCCACATCAGCCGAACCCGTCAATCGAAGCAGCTGAGTATGGGACGAGGCTCTTCTTTTACCACAATTTCACCCCTTGGCCATCGAAAAAAAGGTTCGAGACCCTCGTTTCTTGAAGCCATTCAGGTGGCTGTGAGCTTTTGGAGTCCTCGTCGAATCATCACCAAAATCGACCCTGGAGAACCCCTGAAAAAGTGCGAAACCGTCGAGCTACCGTGATGGTGACCCGCGAGGAATCTGGTAGTATTTTGACCCGCAGCCAGCATGTCAACCGCAAAATTCAGCCAGCGTTCTTTGCCACTGATGACGGTTTTCTCGCGCAACGGCAGGGAGTGAGATGTTGTGTCGGCTTCCTGTTCTTCTTATGACCAACCCTTGTGCCGTATGCCATTATGTAGGCCTCTCTAGACACGCCGCCTGATGACGGGCGTCCACAACAAACATACGACGTGTCGTGCCCCCTGTGTTTCCCCGTGTTCTTCACTCGCCGGCAACACCGACCAAGTGTGTTCTTCTCAGATATCGCGTGCAACGTTTCCGCTAAAGTTGGTGCTGCTGAAATACCATATTCTTGGCATCATGCGGTGGGCAGCTATCGTGGTGCCTCTGGTGTTGCGAAAGGTGCTCAAGTGACAACGTTGCCTATGTAATTTAGCAGTGCTGCGAATGAGACTTTTTTTTTTCTTAATTTGCACCCCAGACCACTGAACGGATGGGCTCTCAGTTTATTTCGCGGTTGCCTGCGTCCAGTATGTGTTGAGGCACAGCATCGAAAATCTCGGCTGTCTCTCTCTCGAGCGCAGTTCATCCAACCCGAGAGATGCTCCCCGAGACGGTGCGATGCTCGTTAAATTCTCAACCCGGGATGTGCGTGCCCCCGCCTCCGTTCGTCGTTTTTTGTGCAGGTGTCAGACGCAGAGGTAGCTCAGTGCCGGGATCGATTAGAGGCCGTAAAGAAGGCAATGCCTGTATGTACGATAGCGGGAGGCACCAAGAAGCGCGGGCGGAAGCCAGCGGGAAATGGGGCGGCAGGGGCAACAGGGTCCCAGAACGGCAAGAGGCCTAAGGGGGGCCCCGTGGGTTCGGGTGCGACATGACACCATGGGTACCTGGATATTTCGTGTGTACAACTGGGTGGTGGAATGTTTTTTTGAGTCCGTTGTCATGGGTTTATTTCTAGCAGCTCGCTGTGAGGGGCGGTGGCGCTTTCAGGGTACGTGGCACAAGCGCTGAAATGAGATAGATGGCAAGAAGCACGTGGAGATTTCGCTCTCGTACGTTGATGGTGCAAGGATGGGGTGATTTCTCGTGGGAAAAAGGACGTGTTCGTTGCAGGTGTGTACCAACACATGCCTGACGGGTACATGTATGGTTAAAAAACAAAGGCAGAACAATCTGATCGCCCTGTCGATGTGTAGTTTTATACCTGAGACTTCGAAGGCAAAAAGGTCGTTGGTTGCACCATTACCGATTGTACCATGGTGCACCCGTAGCCTGTCTGCAGGCAGCACCCCTTGCCATTAGACTCGACGACTTGTTTGGTATTCTACCATCCCCCCAGCCTCTTGTTTTTGCCCTCGACGTGTGCTTTTGCAACCACACGTGTAGTTTCTTTGACAACCCGCGGGAAGCCCGTCTCTCACGTCTCCTTTTCTGTTTCGCGACGCAAAGAAGAGACCTCGAGCCTCCATCTTGTGAGGCCTCCCTCTTCGTTGCCGTTTTTCGGGCTGCCGGTCCCGCGCTTGCATCGTCTGTACTGGTACAATACAGCATGCATTTCATGTCTCGGGCGGACTGCTTCGAAAGCAGAGCTTCACGGGCCAAACATCAACTAGTTGAAGGGCTTTCCACAGTCTGCGAATTCGAGAACACCCGTTCATTACATGTCATCATGATCAACCTTTTCCCGAGACAATCCATGCGCATTTTGACTGGCTTATGTACCTTTTGGCCTACCGCACACAAAAAAGAATACGATCTTCAGGGCCTGTTTTAACGTTTATTTTTGTCACCTAAATTGAGGACCTGCAAAAAATAAGTTTCGGGGGGGTGCCCGGGGCCAAAAACGCTGGTTGGTCAACAGGAAAAAACACGATGAGGCTTTCTCTGCCCGGAAAAGCGGGACTTCGATGTTGTGTGCAGCAAAAAACAATTGCAAATTGATTTGTTTTTTGCTGAATCGAAGCGTACCCGAGATGCACTGCGCCCCTTTTGCACCCCCCGTGATGAGCTGAACTCGTGCTGGCGTTACCCCTGACGGGACTGCATGTGGCACACTGGCCGTGCGGCACTCACACGCATCGCCCACTGCCCGCTGCTGGGAAATAATTAGCTAGCTGCATTGCAATGATTCTGTGAGCGTGCCAACTTTTCGTGCTGGTTGGGTTGCTGTGGAGGTTGCTTTCCAACATGTGCGATGCCAACAGTCAACGGTCGGTTGTGTGCAGCGAGACGGTCCAAACAACAGTGTTTAAACGACGCAAGCCCTTTTTGGCCGAAAACCCAAATTGGTTCAACTTATTTCAGGTGACAAAAATAACGGCCTCAGCGAATACCTCCGCGAATACAGCAGTACGTGTAATACTTCGATAAGTGGGTACGAGTCATTTATTCCCGCGATCGGTGCTACAGAGTGTAGAAAACCCTCTTTTAAAAGAACACTGCAGAATAACAACGGCACGTGCACGCACCAATCAATGCCATGATGCCCATCACATACGCCATGGATCCTGGATCTGCGGAGGTGAAGGGGCGAAGGGGCACTGCGAGGGCCCGGATGTTCACTGATTCCGCGTCCCCCCCCCCCAACACTCTGGAATTCACGTACCCAACACGCACACAGGAGCGGCGCCCTGATCTGGCCATAACATAACATGATCGACGCTATGCGCCGGCGGGCGGAAACCCACCATGTGCAGTCCGAGGAGCCATTCGCCTGCGGGGAAACGTTCCTAGGTTTTGGAGGGAACGGGAATTGGGAGGGAGGTGCTGCTGCTGTGCTGGAGCCACAACAGTTTCGGCAGCAGCAGCAACAGCAGCAGCAGCAGCAGCAGCAGCAGCCGCTACCTCTGCAGCAGCGCGGGTTTTTGAACTGTTTCTTCTGGTGCGGTGGGCCATCTGGCAATATCTCGGAGGATGAGGATGGACAGGAGGACGAGGAGGACCCTACCCTGGGCTTGTCGGATGTGAGTTGTGGAGCATGTGTCGCTTCGGATGCCCGCGGCTGTTGTTCCGTTTTTTCGGGGACCGGCAGAGGAAGCGGCTGATTTGAATCACCCTTCCCCGGGTCCGAGCGTCCGAGCCTTGGCGTCCCGGCTCGTGACTGCCGTCTACGTTCTGTGGTTAGGAGGAAGAGCTGGTCATGTTTCCTAATTCTGCTTCGAACCCAACCCTTGGATGGACGACCTATCGCAACGAATGTCGTGAATATTTGTCAGAATGTCAGCGTCGGATTTGTTTTCTAGCGGTCTGTTGAGGCATTGAGGGCATGACGCGCCGTGATGGTGAGAGAAAACAGCTGTTCATCTTGGCTTGTTCGGTCGGGTTTAAAAGTTCAAGTTTACCTGCTGCACTGCTTCGGCCGGTTCGTCCTAACGTCAACTATGCGGAAGTGGTTGTTTCCTGACGCACCGATTGTGTCGGCCTCTGCCCCCCGTATACGGATTGGAGTTGGGTCCCACAGCCTATGTACCTACCTACCAACCTGACGCTGGGTGTCGACACGACCCGTTACATCGCTTCGACTACAAACTGGTGTGGTTTATCTTGGACGGGAAGTCTTTTTGTGAGATCATGTTCACCTTCCAAGAAAATAGAAAATAAGAGGTTGTATCTATTCTGCACACCAGCTGGTTTCTTCTGATACTGCCACCATTTGTCGTTCTGGCTGTATGTAAACCACAACTTATACAAATATATTCCAAGGTTTAGGTTTCGCACGCACCTCTGGCGATGCGATCTACTTTATTCTGTAACTGCTGCTGCTTCTTTCCGATCAGAAGCCGCAGTGAGCATCCGGTTTACATGTGGGCACTTTTCAGATGGGGGCTAGAGAGTGTTTCGTCCAGGAGATACATGTACCTTCCCCAAACGTCGGTATACACGTACACACTGCCGCGATTTCAATGCTTGCAGGCCAGCCGGCCAGCGGGCGAAGCACTTTTCGAGTGTAACGAGGGACTGGTGTAGTCCTGCTATGTATACGTTCCATTCTGCCCTGGTGATGGGCATCTGAGGGTACATGCATTTGTGGTTCTCTATCGCACAACAGGGGTGCGGTCAGAACGCAAACATGAACGGAAAAATGATTCCATCCGATTTTTCGCACAGGGGAAAGTCGGGGCTACTTGTTTCTGTCGAAAATCGAAAAAAAAACAAAAAAACTCCGAGAAAACCCCAATGTCGGGCTCTCGCACGAGTCCGGCGGGAAAACACTTAGCTTCTTTGGGCTACAACGTTGCTTGATTCCGCGGTATGTAGCGTAGAGGCTCCACTGCTGCTGCATGCATGCAGGTACGGTGCTGGTGGATACGTAAACTTACGGGTTGTTCACACTCATCGAACCGGACGTGGTGTGTGCTGGTATGTATGATAGCACAGCAATACGGGTAGCCGTGGGTTTGTTGGGTGTTCATCGCACAGCAGTCCGGAGTTACCGCGCAGGAAGGTGACCAAAACATTAACAATGAATGTTTAATTCGATTTTCGCACGGGATCGTACCTACAGAATGAATCGCATGGGATTGCACCCTTTGCACAACAGGAGGAAACGTAAGGCTTCAAACCAACATATTGCAGTTTCTGAAAATAACTCCTGCGTGACCTTGTTCCTGTGTGATCCCGGATGATACGCCAGAGGTTACACCGAACGGCGTGTAGACTGGCGCTAGAATAGATCCAACAAACGCACACGTGTACACAAGCCGTTCTGTCGAAGCCTTTTCATACGGAAGTACGTCGTATTAGTGGAGACAGACTTGCAGAAGATATAATCCAAGGAAACGTGAGGGAATAGAACGTTGATCCGTTTCGAAGAAGCAAGTGGCAAGGGCTTTCGGCGGATGAAAGAATGCTGCCTGGCGTGTAATCGGGAGTCAACTAGTCGCGTGTACTTGGGAGTCACGACGATCGGACTGATCGTGTTTTGTTCTCCGACAGGGCGTCGACCGACAACAGCCGTTGTCCGACGGTGTTGACGAAAGAGGTTTTGTTCACCCGGCATCTCAACTGGTGCTCTCAAGCTCTTGAGAATGTCGAGTCTCGAGTGCCGAAGTGGCATTTGCACACAAGTGTCGGCATTGCTGCTGTACGGCGCGACCTTTCTTGCGACTCCAGACCGCAGTGTGTTACAGGCGTCATGCCTTCAGTACGGGAATCATGACGCAAGTAGTCGTTCTATTGACGGAGCACCTACCATGAGACGTGACCCTTGTGTTTCTCACACACAGGTGAACGTGGGCGGGACGAGAACCGTCATAATTATGTGTAATAGTATCTTCAGGTGTAGAGGCTGGGTACCTCCGCTTGTGGTCGAAACGAATGACAGTGTTTGAGCGCACGCGGGCGGATGCAGACGCGCATTGACAAGGCTCCGAATTGCTTTGTTTTGTCCCCGCGATGTATTTGGACATCCACCCCGTTTTCGTCCCAATACGCATGTCTGTGGTCTTTCAGAATCCTGTTTGGTTGGGAGACGGCTCGCACACTTGAAACATGCACACCGGCGTAGATGGAGCTACCTGCTTGCCGGCCAGTTAATTTTTAGATATATTAAATGTGTCTGACATGCAAATATTGTGAATCCCTCGCGCAATTATGCGGTGTAATCAGTACCTGTTCGGAAGACGGCTGGGCCACGGCCGCCTGGGGGAAGTTCGGCACGCTATTCGACGATCGGACGGGGAGAGCGTGGCGGTCAAGTGCGTCAAGCGGAACCGACACTCTGGCCAGGAGGTATCTATTACGCCGTGTTTGTTCGTTGCCTTCCACTCTAGTAAACCAGCACCCCTTCAACTTGCTACACGATACGCACGTCGCGAGTAGTTACTAGCTAGTCACAGGGATTGTTGTAATACGTACTTCGGAGGACTCATTAGTTCAGGAACAAATTATCTACACAAAGAGATCCCACCTCACTCCTGTGATGTGACTTTCGCGGGCAGTTTGCGTCACAAGCACCCGCCGCGAGATATGCAAACATCAGTCGGTGGTTCCGAACCACGTCATAGTCCACCGGATTTTTGTGAAACGGCAACAACGTCGAGCATTGTTTGGCGAACAGCTTGTCACCGACTAATGTTGGACGCTGGACGAATGCCGGCAACGTGCAGTCGAAGCTTCCCCGCGTGTGGCCGTTGTGTGCGTGTTTGTGTGCGATTACTTCACCCAGCAACACCCAATCGTGAACGTATTGTCCGCACGACGTTTGAGCGGTCGGTGACAGTCACTGGAACCGTGAGGCTTTCAGTATGCGTCCCCGGGACCCTCCGCGTTTTTTTGTAAGCACGAAGCCTGCGACTCGCTTCTGCGCACCAGACGCATGATCGTGCTGCGGTGCGGTGGCGTCCACCTGACGTAAAAGGCCATTTTTCCTATCCTCCTGAGCGTCCTACCGCCCCCGCGCCCCTCGTGTGTGCTGCTGTGCCAGGAGGAGCGTGTGTTGGAGGAGGCAGCGGTGCTCAGCGGCCTGTCCCAGCCGAGCATCGTGCGTCTCGTGAGCTTGGAGTCCCTGCCAAGTTGCCACTTCTTGGTTGTGGAGGTCAGTTGATGCTCGGGCTTTGCTGCAGTGCCGTGCTAGCACGCTCGGAAGAGGCCAGCGTGCGGCAGTCTCGGCTGCTCTGCGACAGGAACCACCTTGTCAGTAGCGATCGAGGTTGGGCCACACTGCACGGGCATCCCTCAGCGGTCCCACGATGTTACCATACATAAACATGCTGCAGAACTCTCGCCGAGTAGGATTAACAGTAGTGAACCTGGTGCTGATGCTGATGTGCGTTGTGGTAGATACCAACAGCGTTTTATTTTCTGGTGTCATGTCGGTATATCCGCGCGATCAACACCACACCGTTTGTGTCCGTTCAATCTGTTCTAGCAGACACATGGGTGCAGGCGCAGCTGTTGCGCGTGTATGTTGCTGATACCACTAGTCGAAGTCGTACATGGCCAACACAAGAGTTGGGACGGAGTTCGTCAGATTCACAGCAGTTCCCCCACGTGCGGCCGTATAACCTCGCCGTTCACCCGCGTAGATTCACAGCCCGCTTACGCGCACTCCCAAGATCACGAGAAATATCAGAGTTTCAACTCTCCACACATGGGATATCTTCCTGATTGCATATCTTACCCCCGCCCCCCATGGAATGCACGGATGACGACCAGCTTTCTGGTTCATGCTTGTGAAACGTAGCCTGGACTGGCGAACACTCGGCATATCGTTCCGTCCCGGCATTGTTCGGGAAAAGGTCAATGGTCCGACGACTACGGCATTCGTTTACATGAGTGCCCCCCCTCCCCGCTCCGTCCTCTCTGGACGCGAGGCCAATGGTCTAACGACTACGGCATGCATGACTATGAGTACCCCCCCCCCCCCCCCCCCCCCCCCT